TAATATCTGAGTTTAATTCTAACACAATTTAAAAATTTTAACACATTACAAAAACTTCCTTACGGATTTTTCGAATCCATTCCAACCTTTTATGTTGGTTTGGGTTAATATTGTTAAGAATTTTAATTCTAAGCAATATTTACTCAAAAAAATTCAAACTCAATTTTTTATTTTCATTTTGAAAATGCTCACCTCATTTTTCATTCCACAAAATAAAGATTATTGTGTCTACATATTAAAAAAATCTATTATTTTAAGTAACAGTCAAAAACTATTATTAAAAACCACACCCGCTATTTTCCGGTTTCTTCGTTTTAAAAATGTTCAAGAGTGAATCAAAATAGCTTGTAGAAGCTTTAGCACTGTTATTTTCGTTTTTAAATACATCCAGTATTAAAAAAATCACTACTCTTGAAGTAAATCGTGTTCACATAAAACAAATTGAATTAAAAAAATGTTGCAAATGCAAGCTTCGTTTCGCTAAATGGTAAATTCTGATGGTAAAAATGACCGTATGTATGGCCGCAGTTCGTCAGAGCATTAAAATAATAATAAATGTAATAATCCAGAAATAAACGTAATATGTCATCAAAAATATTGCTAAATAAAAAACAATAGTTTGGTTAACATTTTTGAATAATTCTTTGGATCAAAAGTCAGTTTAAGTTTTCGATTTAAAATTACGACTACAAGCAGCCTTAAGAATAAATCAAGACAAAGCTCGTTGAATTGTTAATCCAACTGAGGTAAAAAAAATCAGTATTGTGTACCATTCAACAATACAATTGAAAATTAAGCTTGTTATGGCCTTTATGATAATGAAACCTTTAGTCAGGCAATGGTCGTCCTCGAAGGCAGTAAATATAGATTCTCGTAAAAAAATGCAAATAAATGGCACAATGCCTGAAGATACCCTGCCTGACTAACTATTAAAACAATATTTCTTGTCCTTAGCGAGGAGTAAAAGGAATGACTGAAAGACCGCTTACACAAGTTGGTGAAATAAATCCCAATTTAAAAAGTGTAAATGGTACTCTGCTACCAATTACCGTTGGATTCGTGATCGGTCGATCGACCATATGGCATTGCATTTGTCAACATTTAGTTGTTTCCATTCGTATTATATTGTTTTAAACACCTCTTCAGTTTTCTTAAAGGATCAGTTTGCATGACACGGAATGGGTAGGTATATCGTACGTGAGGTGAATAATTTGTCCCTCTCAAATAAGATAACAGGACGAAATCTTAACATTCCCGCTACCATGCGAACTAGACTTTATTGTGTTGTCCGAAACATTCGAAAAACGGATTTACCATTTCGAGAACCCAGAACCATATTTCGCTATTTTTCACGGACTTTGTACCACATGCTCCGAAAAGTAATATCGACACCAGCCTATATTGATTCGTAGTGCGGAAAAAGTGTTTGCCCAGTGTTAAGTTATCATTATCACGATATTCGAAAGATCTAACGATAAACCGACAAATTTCACAGAAATAATGGATATAAAAACATGAATCTAACTGAGACTCGTCACGCGAATACATCAACCAATCATTTTAAGATTCTTTCCGCGGATGGATTAAAGCAGTGGCGTAGCCATGGGAAACCCAACCCCACACCATTCAAAGTTAATTAAGAAAAATTGAATAGAAGCAAAATTGAAACACAAGTTATTGATCAAAAAAGCCAAGAAGCAAAGCCGTCTTTCTACCCTTCTCCAAATTCTCTTACACCGAAAATTATGTAGATACAATTTTTTAATTAATTTAGGAAATGTTTCAGTAGCCATTAAATGTACTTTTATAGATTAAAACGCAATGTTTAAACGACTTTTAATAAAGCTTAAGACGTAAAGTATACCAAATTTAATATTTTTTATAAAAAATTGATAGGTATAGGTACACTTGAAATTTCTCCCAAGTTAAAAGAAAAAAGTCTCATTAAGTATCGTATCTCGTAATATTATTCTGTAAATTTATATCTAAAACTAAAAATAAAAGTACTTTAGCAAAATTTTGTCCTGCTTTTAAATGAAGTAATTTATCCTTTGGACTTGGTGGGTAACTGGCAATTTTATTATTTTTTATCTGTGTGTGTACAGTATTATTTTAGCAATTATTTCTTTAATTTGTCACTTAAGTTATCACTTCAATTAAATAATCACTTCCTGTCAGTCGGTCTAATCAGCCAGTTACTGTACGGTTTTGCAGACTATAATTTGTAAAATAAGTACTGTGAAATTCATTAGGCAAAATAAATTTAATATTTTGTCAACAGGCGGAAGTGTTGAACATGAATTCTCGTATACTCTTCTTACTCCGTCTTTAAATGGAACATAATTACCTTCGCCAAGTTTAGTATTTCGCTTTTCTTAACTCCACAATACAGTTTTTTCATAGAAAGTCTAGACTAAAATTGCAATTTCCTCTAATAAGTCCACGTAACATAAGTCATTACTGTAATTATTGTTATTAGAAACGTCTGTGTGCCTTGAAAGAGTGTAAATATTTTTATACTAGATTTGTTTCGAATCAATGTTTCAAATGACAAACGCCAGAAAATTTAAAACCTCATTAATCTAGACCAGGCAGAACAATGGTGAATGCAGTGAAAGTAATAATGAGTAATTCCCACAAAAAAATTCTTACAACATTAACAGATCATCAATCAAGTCGCTTTAACAGGAAGACTGTTCGCAGTGTCAGATTATTCAAAGAAATCGGGCCATTCTAAAATACACATTCTTAGTAATAACGAGTAAAAACTCCACACTAATCCTTCTTTTGAACTATCCGAATTATAAAATTTAAATGTTATTCAAAATGCCGCTCGGATACATATCTACTCTTTTAAACCAATTAAATTCTAAGAGTCAAGCTATTACTTTAATAATTTCAGCTGTTCAATCCGCATTCTGCTAACACAGGCACAAATTTATTTAACTAACTTTCTAGACCTATTAATAAAGAACACAAAATTAGTCATTTTTATGACCCTTTTTGAGCAAATTTATCACTGAATTTTATTAAGCTTAATTCTCTAATGTAGGTTTCGTGGATCCGAACACATTAGTAAAAACAGTTCGATTAAAATATTTTTTTTTAATTAATGATCCGTAAATTGCATCACAACGATACGCCTTTAAAAGACTATTTCCTACGGGTAAAACCCAAGTCGTAAATCCACAAAAACCGAAGTTTATAACTAACAAAATAAATAACAACATCTCTCTGTACTCTAAGAACATTGTTAGCAAACTTATTACAAGTATTAAAGATTTTACATGACTTGGCTTCAAAAATTGAATTGTGGAAAAAGTTGCAATTTAATAATAAAGTTGCTACTTTATCCTCAAAACACGATCGTTTAATTAAAATGTAATTTTGCAAATCGTAAGGTTAAATCGATTTGGAAGCCTTGCATGATCCAAAAAACCCTTTTCCTTATTTGGAAGAAAAATATAACAACCGTATCCATTCGACTTTCATTTTATACTCTCAATGGTACAATAAATCGTGATATACTAAAACCGTTCATAATAAGTTTAATTAGTTGTAATTAGCGATGTTTAAAATGTAAATAATTTACAATCTCATTAAAATTCTATTATCTATTTCGTTGTAAAACTCAAAATTTTACCAAAGGATTTAATAACCTCAACATCAAACATTTGCAATTTCATAATACAAATTTTATTAGATGAGAAAGGCGAGCACAAAACTATTTTCATCAATGCATATTTATAACCCGATATTGTGCTAAAAGGAATAATGCGAATAAAGTGGAACACTGTAATTACTTCAACGTTTATGAATTTATGACTTTTCTACGCTACGCACCTGATTATAATTTTTTTATACCCACCAATAGTTCGGATAAGCTGAATCTCACACTACATAACCATCAGGCATGGAGAAGAAAAATCGTGTAATAGACGTTCTTCATAACGCTTGAAATTAATGTTCTGTAGCAGAAATGAAACATAAAGCTGTCGAAGAGATAAGTTGAATATTCTGTTGATAAACTAAAAGCCTGCGTTGGCGGTTTTAAATGGAAGAAGCGCTTCAAGAGAATCGAATCACAAGCCCTGCTTTGGCCAAATTTTTAAGCCAGAAACAGATAACACGTTGAATTGGTAACAGAATGGTTGCTCAACAATAACGTTACACAACATAAATTATTAGCAAAAACAATCATCCATCTACCGCAAACAGCAACAAAAAGGGTACATAAAATCGCAACTTTGAATTATGCGGTCAAGGACCCGTTTTGCATTAATAAAACCTTTTCAAAAAGCCACGAGTATTTTTTTACTATCAAATAAATACACAATGAACCTTTTACACCCTCACATGCTCCCGTATGTGTACAACAAGTAAAGAAATCCATAAAATATTTGTCGAAACACACTTTTACGACCCTTCTTTCATATTCTTGCGGAATATTTTTTTAACGTTTAATGAATTCTCCTTCAAAGTTATTTATTACCGACATTTAATTTATTTCGGCTTGATATCCAATTCCAGCTTTACAAAGAGAATTAATTGTCATCCAATCCAGAAAAGGCATGATTAAAAAATTAGGTTAGGTTTCTTCCCTACATCAAGTCCACACTTGATTTCCATATGCCTAAAATAAAAAAAAAACTAACGCTCCCTTTGAGCAAAATAATCTCAATAAAATTTTATAACCGTGTTGTAAATTTTCGAGTAAAAAGTAAACAGCGAACAAACTTTGAACTTAAATTTGGAAATTATGCGAACAATATCGCACAATCTCTTTTACTCTACATGGGTGTCTTGTCTTCAAGTTACGACAGGCATTCTAAATGCACGTTTGAAAGCAATAAAAATAAATCACATTTGGGGTGATTTCCATAAAGACAAAGCCAGGATCTGTCAATAAATAATTTCAATCAGAAAAAATCTCTTGTAAATATTATTAACCTACGCGAGGTTATCAAAATATGACCCCTAACAACTTATCTTAAAAAACTGCAATAACGAACTAGTATAACGCAAGCTGTAAAATGTTTCTGATTGGACTTCTTCCACTTCTCTATATTTTTTTACCAATTCATTCACACGACACCTGCGAGACCTTACAAACCTGCCACGAATGTATCCAAACACCTGAATGCTTTTGGTACTTGGGAAAGAATGTAAGTAAGAAATATCTAACAATATTTTTTTAAATTAGCAAAACTTTCTAAATTTCTCCTAAACATCTGGTGGACATGTAACTTATTTAAGTGTATCAAATGTGAAATTATCAAATTCTCCAAACAGGTGACAGACAGCCGTTGCTTCCACTACAATGCCAATACCACCGAAAAATACAAAGAACACGTTTACAATCCCAACAGTACGGTAAATTTCGTCAAACACAATCTACAAAAAAGGATTCTGCAACTTCGTAAAAGTGAGTCAAAATTTAAAAAATTCAGTATGTTATTACATACAACTTTTGTAGATATTCCGGTTGTTCTGGAAGTCATACTGACGGTTCCACATGACACAATTCTCGTCCCAGATGTAGAACACATTGAAATTCAATTTACTCGTAGCACGGTAAAAGTAATAATTTTTTATTAATATAGCAAAACAGTAAATTTTCAGTCTAAACATGGTAAAATTAAAATTGAAGCAGTAAAGTGTCCTGAAAATCCTTCAAAACTCAACCAAGAAATCCACCTCTTCACAAAAAAATCTTTTCAAAATCTGACTCTAGAAATAGAACTTTTATGCACATGTCCTTGTGAAAAACCAGAAAAAAGTAATTTCAATCATCCCCAATGTTCCGGTCGAGGTACTTTAAAATGTGGAATTTGTAAATGTCATTCTGGATTTGGAAAATTTTGTGAATGTAATCAGCCTGCAGACCCTAAAGAATGTTTTCACAAAAATAAAGAATGCTCTGGAAGGGGTACCTGTATGTGTGGAGTTTGTGAATGTGATATAAGAGAAAATTATGGAGAGGTAATATTTTTTAGGTATTAATACTTTTAGGTATTAATATTTTTAGAGAATTTTTGGAAAATTCTGCGAATGTGACAACTTTTCATGCAAACGTTTCAAAGGTAAAATCTGTGGAGGAGATGATCACGGATTTTGTGATTGTGGACGCTGCATGTGCTTTCCAGGATGGAAAGGAAAAAATTGTGGTAGTCGCGATAATTGATCACGTTTTCTCATGTTATATATAATAAAAGAAAAACAGATGTTTTCCAATTGAACATTTCTGTAATTGAACCTTGAAAAATTGTTTAGATTCAATCCCCAGATGCAACACTTTCACATAAATGGTTTTAAAACGTATCTTCATCGAAACTCCGAGTCGTAAACAATAATGAATTTGAGACGCTCAGTCGAGCTCGGTGAAAAGGGCAGCGTTCGTGAAAAGAATTTCTAAATAGTAAAAGCAAACTATTTTTTCACTCAAACACTCGAATCGCTGCAAAAGATTTCCTTTAGTCGGTGGTAGCAGCTGAATGGAAAATAAAACTAAACCAAAGCAATCCCTGCTTAACAAACTTGCAGTGATCAATTGTGAGTTTTTTTCGGATTGATATCGAGAGTTTCCTTGCAAATATTTAACTGCAGTAATAAAATCTTGCGTCGAACACGAGCGAAAGTTAATGGTAATTATTCCTGAAAGTTTGATGCTGTTTTAGCTATTCCTGAAAATGCAAAACTCGGCTTTTATTGAGTCCTTGGAACAAAAACGCCATTCACTTCCCAAAAACTAAACCCTCAGATCGAATCTTATAATTTAAATTTTACGCTTACTAGCTGATATTTTACTCATATCTTCAATCACGAGGAAATGATGCAACGTCGACCTTTAACACCGACTTTCATTGAAAGAAATTTCCACTTGTTCAGTCGTTTTCAACTCGGCAGCAAAAATGCCATTCAAGCTGATAATAATCCTGTTGATTTTGAAATTTATTCAAGTGCAGCCTGGGGACAATTGTGACTCTCTTAGAAAATGCCAAGATTGCATTCATGCACCATCGTGCGGCTGGTACCTCCAATATCGTGTGAGCATCCAGACAAATACAAACGGCTTCCAATTAAAACCAAACTTTTATTACAAAATTTTAGTCAGCTAATGGATCCGGATGTTTCGACAACGACTATCTCGAGCAACATAAAACCGACACCGTGAACGGCTACTCCTTCCCACCGAGAGCAAGTTTTCACATTGTCAAAAACGAAAAGAGTAACCCAATCTCTCCACAAGAAGTATCGCTCAATCTGAGACTCAGTAAGTAAAAACCGAGCCGTCACCAATACCCCACGAAAACAATTTCAGATGACCCCTTCACGTTTCCTATAACCTTAACACCTGGACCCCAATGGCTGCACAAAAGCATCGAACTAAGGCACAATCTCAAAAAACAACAAGTCGTAAAGTTGACTTTTTTCACCAACTGCGGCAATCGCAAAATAACCGAGAGCGACAAATGTGACAACATTGAAGTAACTGAGCTAAAAATGAGGTGCTTACCAATTTGATAAGATTGATTTAAGTTGGGTAAACCGGTGACGTTCTGGGTCAAAGTGGAACAGAAACAATGCTCGAAAAGACAACCCGAACAAATAAAACGAATCAAAATCTACCTCACTCCTGGCGATGCAGTTTTTCGACTGCATTTGTACGCTTACTGCTATTGTCCTTGCGAAATGGACGATGCAGTTTCTAATCCAAAAGTCGTTCCTCAATGCAGGAAAAGAGGAAGCTTCGAATGTGGCGTTTGTTACTGCAACGACGGCTTTGCAGGAAAAAATTGTGAAATCAATACGTCAAATACACTTTCAGGAAAACCGTATAAGAATTGAATAATTTATTTTTTGATTATAAATACACCAAATTTATATGTGTTACTTAAATTCCTTTTATACTTAAACAGGATAAAACAGACCCAGAGACACAACCGTAACTGCAAGACTTGTTTAATCTAGTTCATTTATATAGGTACTTCTACCATAAAATATCAATTATTAATTAAAGCAGCAGGAAAGGCGATTGAGCTTCACGTGAAATTTATGGTTCATTATGACGGCATGAACAGCATATTTCAAATGTGTGAATAAAGCACAATTATCAGCTCTGTATCTTTCAAACACAATAAAAAAAAAGAAATAACCATATTCCAGTAGATGCAGGTGCTGGTGTTTCTTCCTAAGGATTTATAATTCTCTACTGTCTAATAATATAATTAATTTTGAGACAAATAAACTGCTGTAAAGTCAGTTAGCTGCTGATTTAAGCCGGATTTAAGCTGTAAACTAAAATTGATTGTGCCTAAATACCAGACGCAGTTGATAACTTGAAAGGTGTCAAAAAATACGAGCCATATAATTTTTATTTGCTACGACTAATAGAATTTTAAAAAACTGCCAAACGAAATTAGTATTCACAAGGTATAGGTTTCAAAACCTATCAACAACTTTTACGACTCTTGTATATGTGTACTTCCCTTGAGAGAATTTCGAAAATCTGATAAAAACGCCATTAGACTACACGTGAGTCTCATCATGGAATTTACGAGCGAATTTTCGCATTCATAAAAAGCGTGCATTTTCCGATAATGATTTATTTAATTCGAATCCTCTTTGATTACAGCCTGACGTGCAGTTTTTAAGCCGATTATCGTCAAATCCCAAAAGGATTTGAAAATTTTAATGATACCTTCCGGTTGAATTAATCACTCTTAGCCCAAATTAAATCAATCGATCGAACGCTATAATTAAATTTTCCCGCGAAAAAATTGTCGACGTTGAAAGTGCAATTCGAAAGGCCGATTACATCATTCGATCCACTTCTTGAAAATCACTTTTTATCTTTCAAAATAAAAAAGTTACGGCCACTATTGGGTTTATAGAGCGGCGGGTAGCGTCCATAATTTTTAAATCCTCTATCAGAATATTATGTGAAAAAATATTATCGAGGGTCACGTTCTAGAAAATCCATAAAATCCCTGTTACTCGTTTATTTGATGTTCAATTGTCTCTTTTTTCGGGCTGTGTGGATTAAATCGATTTTGTCCTGGATGATGTTTATTCAGTGGCAGTTTTAGTATCGAAATGTTTACCTGTTACCTGTGCTCCCTTTTAACGACACGGTTTATACATCTGATTGCGAGCAATCGGTTTTTAATCAGCTCAAACGGCCATTAACTGAGTACTGTATCACAATTCCACAAAGAAAATTTAACTTTTAATAAAAAAAACGTAAATCAAGAAAATAATAACGTTTAGCGACTTGTTTCTGAAATTTTAAGGTAAAATAAAAAATTACAGTTTAAATATACTAAAAACACGAAACTATTGCTCTAATCTTACTAGAAAATCACAGAACAATTTTTTTAAATAATTATTCAGCACCAAGTAACTTTATTAAAAATTCCATAATGTGAAAATAGTTTTAAAAAATCTTTATAATATGAATACATTGCTTTCATTTACATTCTCTATATTTTTTTGTAATTAGAAAATTTTATATCAGCTATTTATATTCCTTATTCGTGATCACGTTCAACATGAACAATTTGATTTACATTTCATTTTGCCCACTTTTATAATTATTCCTGACACCTGATAAATGGCATACACGGTACTGGTTCTCATAAAAATTTATTTATTCTTAAAAAAAAGTAAAGCAGTAACTTAGGCTCTTTAACTATTCCGCCTCCTCACTAATTGATTTTTTCCGTATAAAAAAATAATTAAGTTTAAAAAAAAATCACAAAATTTTAATCAAAACCTTTACATTCAACCGAATATTAAATATACGTACACGCAATCTCACGTAAATTTAATTTAAAATAATCGTGCACATTATAGTGTAGTGGCCATTTCGGTCGGATTTGGTTCGCGTTGCAGCTAATAATCGTTCGCTGCAAATCACATTACGCGAATTGGTTGCATACGGATTATGCTAAACTCTAACTACCGTTAGGAGGCTTGAATGAATTAATCCAGCTTATTTCAAATCGAATTTTAGCAAAGTTTCGACAAAACCAAGTGAATAAGCAAGATTCTTAAAATATGTTTAAAAAATTTGAAAAAAAACAGTTGGTCAAAATTTTGTCTGGCAATGTATAGAACAACCGCCAAATATGCTCGTTTCTCGATTGTAAAATAACAAATATTCGCTTATTTGCTCCATAAAGTTAATAATAAAGGCTGGTCTCACTGTGGCTTATTATATTCGTAATAAGGCTGGTTGGTCGTCGATTAAAAAATGCCTCATTAAAAACTAAGCAAACTAAGGGCGAGGGCGCTCCCGTTTTTAATGAGGGTGAATATTTAATAAAGGAGAGGTCGATAAGAAGAAGTCATTCTTACCTGCACGATTTCCAGGATATGTTGACATTTCTCCCTGACGTTGATGAAAGGACAACTAATTGATAACCTTAAAATGATAGGTAAATGTAGCGACACCAGATCCAAATACTCCTTGGGGACGTCATTAACGGTATTCCCGACAATGTCCGAATACGCGCATCCGTTCGACGCGTTCTGTAATCTCCGGCGTTCCGGCTGGGCCATCCGGTAATGTTTGGGACTACCGACGCCATCCAACCATCCCTCGACGGTCTTCGATATGACGTCCAACGCCACTTCTCTAATTTCATTGTCGCGCGAACAAATAGGCATGCAAAATCGCGAAATCAAATCCAAATCCTTGAATAAACCGTCGTAACTGTCCGAATCTACTTCGCGTGATCTACTTAGCTCGTTATTGTTATTTGATTTGTTAAATTCGGTTTGGACGAACATTATATTAAGGCAAACGATTTTAGTCAATTTCTTATATAATCCCTCTCTTTGATTCTCTTCAATTGTTAGCGCGTTTCGGGCTGATGTAATTTCGAATGAACTATTAGGAACTAGCTAATACTATTATAATACTGTATATTTTGATTTCAGTTGCGTTCACTTCTTGGATGTAGTACTGGAAACCTGAAAAAGAATACACATTGTATATAATTTTACATCGATGACATTCAATGCATGCATATACCACCAATATTATATTAATTTAATCTTTTTCTTTGTAAAATGTTGTTAACATTCGATATAGTTCTTACGATAATATGATAAAATACGTCATTCATAACAACATTATTTTTGTAAACAATTAGGTATCTTTTATAACACCTGAATTGTTATGGAAATAGAAAAACATTTTCTAATACATTCCAAAAAAAGTTATAAATCGTTAACTTATTTAAAACAGTTTTTGAATTAAACATATGTATAATTAATACAACATAAATTGCCATAAAACAACAAACAATTTTAGTGTACGTTCAATCCCCTGTACGGTCAATACTTTTTTTATACATTTCGTATTAACAAAAAAATAAATAACAAACTTCGCCCACACAAACCACAAAATAGGATGTATGCATAAAAAAAAATTTCGAAAAATTAAAATTAAAAAACAATCAATATCTATATACATATTTTAAAATCAGATACTCTAAAGAAAACGAATAAAGGTTATGCTAAATGGGCCAGTCCCCAGATTCACGTATAACGAGAAATCAACGTAAAAGTTTGTGTTAAATAACTCTCATATGCTACATCACTTTTGAAAACCTACAATAAATAATCAATTTACTTTGTATGTGAAAAGTTCGAAGATATGACATTTCAACCTCATTTAACGATTGATATGAAATAGCTATACAGTTCTCACGTTGGGAAGTGGTCACTTCCCAACCCGAAAACTATAAGGAAGTGACCACCACTCAACCTAAATTGTCATAAGTTATGTTTGTCAAACTTTTATAAATTCTTTAATACCTTTCTGTTCTTTAAGAAGGATGATTGTGAATAAAATAGTATACAAACCTTAGTAGTCGTTGCTTCACTGCAGCTCGGCTCATTGCTAACCGAGGCGCTTCGCGCCTTGGTCATCAATTTTCGCCTAGGCAATGAAGCATCTCCCACCTCGGTATGTAATCTACTATTTGCCCACCAAACCTGTAAATGTCAAATTAACATACGGTTGAAAACTATGTAAACAACGTGAAAACGTGTTTACTCGGAGGGCGGGAAAAACTCTCAAAAAATATTTCATTTTGTATAATAAAAACTTATTTATTAAAACACCATTTTACATAATAACCGTAGATATAAAATGCTGACGTGAATGATTGAAATAATTTTTTTCACTATTTAACTCTAATTAGAATAATACCGCCTATCTCCAAAAGACTTTTAACGTGACCTTATTTTGACGTAGAATAAAAAAAAAACAGATTTATTGATAAGAGGATCAAACAAAATTTAAAAAGTTAACTATTTTACAGAGTCTATTCATTAACGCACTCCGCTACACGTTGTGTCAAATTAATGTCGCCCTGTAAAATGCCAGTTACCTATCACCCGCAAGTGTAAGTAACTATTTCGTAATCCGTTGTAAAAAATCAAAACGTTGATCACTTTTAAAACCTAATATAATTCAAAAATATGTAAAAATCCTTTGCTGACTCATCAGAGCAAGACCAAAAGCAGTTACATAAAAAAATACTATAAGTAGTGACATAACAAGTCTCCCTATTAGGAATATTTACCAAGAACAAAATCACACGGTTGCAGCAATTAAACATTAAGGCTTTCTAAGAAACTCCTATACCATAATTGTAATACAAATAAATCTATTAAATAATTAAACAGACAGGGTGTTTCACACAACTTTACGAGGCTTGCGCCTAATGTACGCACCCAAATATACAAAATTCACAAAACACTAGATACAAAAAATATAAATTTAATTATTTAATTTTTGGAAACCCATGACTGTAGTTATCAAACTAATCACTGTTTCATTAATAGTCATAAACAGCAGATTTTCAGAGACAATTATCATTTGTTCTATGAAGAGATGGCATGAATATGATTTTAGTTTATTTATCTTAATTACTAACTAACTAAAAATTAACTTAAAACTAAAAAATGTAGTAATTTTTGAAAGGGTGAACAAACTAGAGAAAATTAGCCAATTTTTCCAAATTTGTAATCGAGTTCGTATCGGAATATTGCAATACTGATTGCAACTTACAGGCACAGGCGCCGTAAAATTATGTGGAACAGCCTGTATTACGGAATTTTTTCAAAAATAGTTTAAAATTGCAGATTAGAATAGAGTTGCGCTAAATTAATACATCAGTCATAAACATTTCTTGAAATAATAATATGCAATTAATACTTGTCATCCAGTTGACAGATACACATACATATTCATGGTTTAGTGATGTACCCAAGAGTAATTACTTAAATGAAATAATTACATATGATTTTGTGTATTCTTATAATAATAAGATCTTCAATTAATCTCAATTTACTAAGTAGTCTAACTCCACGTGATCGCCCATCATGCTGTCAGCTCATATAAAACTGCAATAAATGGAAAATGTGTATGTAACCCACTATCTACCATGTAATGGTTTCTAATTTTTGTAATTTCCAATCACTAGCTAGAACATTACCGACAAATTATCGCCACTTTTTTTCTAATAAGCCTACTATAAAATCAGTGCTAACAAGTGCAACTCTTTTTTGATTGATGTACAAATGATATTTAATCATAGTTTCCTCCCAATTATATTCAATTATTTACTCATTTTAATACAAACTCGTTTTTCTGCATTATATTTTAAGTAATTACCGCCTGATTCATAATTTAGTAGAACAAATTAATAATTATATTTTAATTAGCGTTTCACATGCTCAACGGCATTAAGTAAACATTTTGCAGTACAATTTCAGGCATTATATTGCAACAACGTATTTCGGAACTGCAACCAGACAATAACGATAATTTCACGCTTCAGTGCGAATTGCAAAAGGAAAAAACACATAATCTAATTAGACAAATTACGTTGACACTCTTAGCGACATTGATTTTTTTGTTCAATTTCATGTATTATCTTTCCCTGCCTTGGGTAATATCAGTTTTTGTAACACTTCGACAAGTGATTATTTTCGCTGCACCTTTACAAAAAGAGAAGCAATCATTTCGTGAGCTTAAATTACGTAAACCACTTTATACATATATCCTTCCCGTAATATAACCACTTCAGTTCGAAGGATAATAACAATTAATTATAAAATTAATTTCATATCTACGATGAAGTAAAAGACGCGAAGGCGAAATAATTAATCTCGAGCACGATCATTAGATATAATTTGATAATAATGACGGCGAAAGCAATCATTTTTCCTAAATAAAAAATATCGCAAGAACGACAACTGTCAAGCTAATAATGTGTAAGAATTATAGGCAAAAACTTGTTATATTCTTCAAATTATCGATGGTTGGAATATGTCAACTCTCTCCGGACCAGTCTGTGTTACTTTGACCCAATAAAAAACACAGTGAAAGCGACATATTTATTAAAAAATAATTCAAAAGAAAGAAATGAAATTTCAATATGTCTAAAGATTTATTATGTATTTCAGTCTGAAGTAGCCCACGGTCGATTAGAATCAAAAACTTCTTCTCTTCCAGTCAACGAGTCTTCATTTATTGATATTTAAATTATTGATGGCCATTATCTAAATATTCTTTTTTACACACTTCTCTCGCCTATTCAACGACATATTTCTCTTTGTGGAACATCTTTAAATGTTGGTGAAAACTAAACTGAAGAACTTCGGTCCAAACAAAAATAAATCTTTGTCTCCTGTGGTCATTGCCAGGTCATTGCCATTTATAATTCATTCCGTATTGACTTTATCACCTCTGGGCTGTGATATCTTGTTCTTGCACTTCTAGCGCAAAACATAATAAATAAATAATAAATCCCAAATGGCGTAACAGTCAAAAATAGTTATTTTTTGTAAAAATGCGTCACGACTCGGAATGTGTCTACATAAGTGTTCTCAACTTTGCCAAAATTTCGCGTAAATAGAATACATAATTAATGATTTATTTTTAGCGTTTTTTTTTTTAAGTTACTGCAAGCATTAAATAACTTCACATCCGGTTTTGTAATTCAAGATTCTATTAAGCAAATGAATGAATAATCGTAATATGAAACTGACCATCTCCCATGTATGACTGTTTCAATTAAAATAATTCAATTGTGCACAAATGCAATGAATAATCTTTTATCAATCGAAATGGATTATCTAGAACACCTGCGATATCGCACAAAATCCTAACATTAACAAATCTTTCAACATGTCTCTACAATTATACTTTTTACAGTGGAATTGTTTCATTGGATTGCATTCATTTGCTGTGTGTAAAACAATAAGCTCCTTTTGCAATTTCGATATTGGAATAAAATTCCACACATTGTTTTATAATTACAGTATTCTGTCTAATAAATAATAATACGGTTTTTCGTGGCAGTCCCTCGGAAACCTATATTCAACAACCCAGAAAATGTCGCGTGTCTGCTCTCCCAAGAGAGAGGCTAGGATGGGCCACTTGCCGACGCACAACTTCTGAGTTTATTACATTCAACGAAAGTTACTACAATGTCTTTTACTTAGTTTTGCTATTATTTTCGCGTAATTCGTCATTGCCGAAACTTTACACTTTAAGAGTTGCCTCCACGTGCTTTTTAATTAAATTTAACTACTTTCGAGAGCTGTAACTACTCAAGGACTCTAAAATAATTTCGAGCTTTGGGAAACTGGAGCTTCAATGCGTAAAAAATTAGCCAATTAGAATACTTCTACATAAAAAACTTGTTTCAAAAAGCAAAACTCCAGAAATAATTAGTTTCTAACAATAACAGAGTTAATCGTTATTTTTTTTTATAAAATAATTACCCATTTTGTAGTTACATAACATGTATTACCATATTTATCATTTTAAAATTGGTTTCACTAGGCTAAACATAATATAAGCAAAATTCAAAGGTAGGTAGTGATTAGTAATAAATTAAAACCACGTCAAATTTTAAGCAGCTAAAAAAACTTATTAAATAAATAATTTTGAGCAATGACTGTAATTCACTTAGAGTAATGAAATAATTACGAGTATAATCAAATAATCTCCTACATGTGCTCACTATTTTAAAGCCGAATAAATTTGCAACTTGTCGTGTTTTGTTTGTTTATAAAAGCGATAAATTATTCGTCGACATGTTTCAAATCAGACTTCCATAACAATCCCATATTATAAAATCCAAGCTTTTAATTACACTTATAAATAAATTAGCAATAAAAACTGTAAAGATTATTTATGTCATTTTTATTATTGTTAAAAAAATTAGGTTGAATTTAGTGTCTCCAAACAAGGAGGAGTTGATTAGCATAAAACAGTAATAATACAATTTAAAATATCCATTATGCTAAGTTTAACACTTACCTGGTGCACATGTAAAATTAATAGTGCAATACTCGAAGTAAGAGCAGATTTTCCGTTTTATTTTTGGTGTAAATATAAAATACGTCTTTTAGTGCTAATAAAGTCCACATGCGTAAAATGGGTTTACCAGCTATGCGTTGCCATACAAAGAACTGCGTCGGTAATAAATTATTTCTATTGCTATAATCCACGGTTTAGCCCATTACTAACACCGACGTAAAATAAATCTCAGCAGTATCAGCATATACAAGTCTTTTTGTGGAGAAAAGTTGTTTAACAAGACCTAACGTTTAGATTCGAGTAAGTTTAATATTAAATCCGTCGTTTGAATACTTATTTTATTTTCGAATTATTTCCAGAAGATTTCCTTTACTCGGTCATTCAAAACAATGCAAAAAATATGTGAACACGATCTGTAAAAAGCGAGCGAGATGTTAAGTCGGATTTAATAAACTCACTGATATAAAGCGACCGGGGGATTAATAAGAGTCGATGTTTGTGTTTCGGGTTCATTCGAATAAAACTACACCCGAAAAGAAATGAATATGGCAAACTCCCCCAAACTGAAATTTGACGCTGATCCGATCAATGCTGCAAATTCTGTCTATTTTCTTTTGCACTAATTTCATTTTATTAATTGCCCCTCTAGAACAAGCTCCACTGTAACAATCCAAATAAGCCAAAAAGTATCAATAATTTTTTTGCATAAAAAAAGATATCGTTTTTAATATGTTTGGAAGCGACTGCATTTATTTATCGAGTTTACATAGCACGTAGCCTGTAGGCACTGTCAGCTGAAAATAACTCGGCCTGAAGCAAAACTTTTCACATATTTCAACCAACAAATTTTTAAAATTCACGAATTCATGGCTTTGGATTATGCATTTAAAATAGATTTAAGGCTATACTATTTTCTTTGTGTATTTGATTCAACTAGGTTACATTCATCGTTATAGAGATTCTCAAAGCAGTTCGAAAAATAAAATTGTAGAGAGCTTTATTTCCTTACTGTTCTTAATATCATCCAGCTCAACTGCTTCAGTTCTCTTGCTTTATTTATTAAGACGTATGATTTCACTTAAGTTCAAAAGCATTTCGAAGCGAACTTTGCAGAAATCTGAAAAGGAAAGCTAATTTCATCCCACATACTGCATAACACCACCTGCTTCAAGAGCATCAGAACTAATCCTCCTCGTAAATATTTCCAACGAAACAAAGCGACGTATGATGGAAGAAATACAATGGAAACGGCGAAGGCGAAGAGACAAGTGCGCTCGAAAGGAAAACTCCTGCAAGGAGTAAAGCGAAACAATTCATTGCCAACAGGAAAATTCCTCAAATACGACTTCTCCAGTGAGACAAAACAGTGAATTCAAAGTACATAGTTGCATTGCTTCATGTTTGTCGAAAATTTCAACCAACAATAGGAAAAGTAACTGCTCCAAGAAAACTCAGGATCTGATTATATTCTACTGTAAACAGTATTTTTCAAACAAACTTTGCGCTCCATTTCAGACCTTCACGACATGGGAACAATTATCCAAAGATTTTGTCTAATTAAAAGTGAAACTTTGGAACGAGTTTGCAGATTTACATTTATAGCACTGACGTCAAAATATGAATTTCCAGAAAAGTTTCTTCCTCAAACACGAAAATGTCTAATATTATCTCTAGATTTAGCCCAAAAATAACCAACGACATCATCAGCATCATCTCTCTAAATGCCAACAACTTTTTTATACCATTGTCACATTTTTAGGATGGTAGTAACCTTTCCTCTATTTCTCCAAGATAAAAAAAAGACATAAAGCAGTTAAAAAATTGAACCAGATAATTTTAGAACAAAAAAAGAAATAATAATTGCCAAAATACATAATGAAACATTATATTTCATTAGATCTAATATATGTACCTACCTTTTCGTATATTTTTTCATGTTCCCACTTTCCACAACTTAAATGTTGATTTTTTTATATAAAAGCCATGTATTGTTGACTTGTTTGAAGACGTTGTCCATCGTAGATGCAAACATTTTAACATTTTGTAATGTCTATTGTCATAATTGTAAGCAGATGAAATTGCATCAATACGTATACGTTAGGTTTAAAACATTTTGATCATTGAAAAGAGTAAAAAATCACACTAAATTAAAACAAAATGGTTTACGTATTCAATGAACCGAATCTTCAAAAAATTCAACATATGGAACTTCGATTTATTCTTTTCTATTTTTTTTTTGCTTTTACAACTAGACAAATTTTATTTATATTCATGGTGTATAGACAAATAATAAAACAATTAACTATAAAATGTTTATTTCCATTAATAACAAAATAGCAATTGTTCTACATGCCACTCGAGTGATCGTTTATTCCAAAGGAATCAGTAGATGCGATTGCCGTTGGCAATAATTAACTTCGCTAGTATGAAAACCACAAGAATTGGCGTTGTTTCTCCACATTTCGCGTCCCAAACCTTCTGTCAACACAAACAATTTGTTATAATTAAATCCAAAGTTGAAAGCAAAAACAAAGGGTTTTATATGACAAGTTTGGCGTACATTAAAAGCCTCTTTATGAACGTCAAATAAATACAAAGTGGTACAGCAAACTTCGTTAGGAAGTGGACAGCAGCACATCCACATTACATATTTGCCAAGTCATAACAGGGACTCGTTGATTAATATTATTTCGGTAGTTTTCGTAAATTATTTTCCGACTGTGTACATACAGGGTGTTCGATCCAAGTCGCCCCGGCCGATAACACCTATACTTACTTTTTTTTTCAAAAACTAAATTTTCAAATAATACTATTCATTCCTTATTTTCTTAGTAAATGCATTAAATTTTTTTGGCACATCCAGTGTAGCCGGAAATGTTACCAAATTTAGTTTTTCAAACGGAACACCTATGTTTTTTTGCTCGAAACAATAATAACTGGCATGAAAAATACGGTAAACCACTATTTATTACATTTTACTTTACATAATGCACTCAGAAAACAATTTAAATTTTTTTAATTTTATTGCAAATTTTGCAACGTAGGCGGATTTTACTTGTCAAAGTATTCTTGCAAAAAGCAATATGCTTGGATACCGTTTAATTGTTATTTTGACAAAGCCTAATTTGTCAATAAATCTTATTGAGATCTTTAATAATGGATGATATTAATTACGACGAATTGGTAGATCAGTTTGAAGTGTTTTTTAAGTGCAATAAAAATAGAGCGGAAGCTGAAAGACAGTATAGAGAAAAATACTCAAATAGAGTTCACCCAAATCGTTGGAAATTTAGTCGAATTGAAAAACAAATGAGACGAATAGGTTCGCTTCTTAAAAATAAAAAACCTGTGGTTCTTTGTGAAGAACAAGAAAATAGAAATCTGAATGTTCTGTTATCAGTCGAAGAAAATCTACGAGTTTCCATAAAAGAACTCGCTCATCAACTGACAAATTAGATTTGTCAAACCAACAATTAAACTGTATCCAAGCATTTTTTTATTCACAACCTTCCTTTAAAATTAAAAATCAGGCTACGCGACCAATTTCCTTATAAAATTCTAAGATTTAAGATGTTTTTTGATTGCATTGTGTTACGCAAAATGTAATAGTGGTTTACAGTATTTTTCATGTCAATTATTGTTTGGAGGAAAAAAAACATAGATGTTCCATTTGAAAAACTAAATTTGGTAGCATTTCCGGCAACACCGGATGTGCTAAAAAAAAAATTTAATACATTTATTAAAAAAGCCAAGATTGAATATTATTTTGAATATTATTACTTAAATATTTAATTTTTGAAAAAAAGAAGTAAGTTTAGGTGTTATCAGCCGGGACGACTTGGACCGAACATCCTGTATATTCGACACCTAAATCACATTGAAACAGGTGTATATGTATATGTATATATATATATATAGGTATATGTGAGAAAGCTGTGTATTAGCTTTGAAAAAGTGTGTTTTTCATTTATTTTTTTTTCAATATTTCCGAAACCGTTTTAGATAAAATTTTATACGGAAGGCCTTGTATGTATACTTTAGCACACAACATCGGTTTATTTTAGTAGAAAAGTTTTATTAGAGTTCACTTTCAGTTACAAATAAATAAATTGCTTGCCACGAGCAGACGGAAGGAAAAACCGACGAATTTAAAATATTCCTCCTCTACCTTTCCATCCTATTTTTCAAATTGCGTCGACTCCGAGATGGATAATGCGCTAACCGTAATCGAACATTACAATAAAATAATCAGGACGAAATTAGACGCGAATTAGAACAGACTACAGTTAATTTATAATTAAAAACGAAGCGCGCTTTCAGTGCAATTCATATCGTCGGCAATAAATTAATTGCATAGGTATATCCTCAAACAGAAGCAAAAAGTCCGCGTCATACTCTGATACTCCGATTATTTGATTGTAGCAAATTAACAAAGACGATTAGCGGAAACAGCGGCTCGATGGGTTTGTGTGTGGGTCCTCAGGGCGCGTCAGAACTGTCAAAATTTTGCCCCAACTAAATTGTTTTAATTAGGCGATATGAACCCCACTGTTCACTTTTCACCATCTTGACGTGTAAAATACAAACGTGTGGTTTACGAGTTGGCAGTTTTAATCAATAAGGAACGTGCGATGCCACAGGAACAAACGTTTCAAAATATAATTTATTTTGCGCGAAGCTTTAGCAATCACATCGAGTGAATGATTTTCGACTTTTCGGAGCAAATTCGTACGGGGAGCGCGAATCGATTTATCGTGCTTATGTATAGGACATAATTGAAAAAATTACTCGAAAGGAAATAGAAGAAAGTGTTCCAGTTTGAGAGAAAATTGCCACTCGGATAAAATGAAATTATCAAGGGAAAGATGGCGATGGATTTACTGCACCGATTGAAAAGAAATAAAAACGTAATCGGCCAGTTTGCCAAAAGAGGAGGTCGGAAAAGTCGATTAAATTTCAGAATGATTTGTCATTGTGACGAGAGTTTAATAATTAATTTCTGGCATTTCCCTTCGATCCACCTACATTGTTCCCGGAACAAATTGTTGCAATGCGGATTTTCCCTCGTTTATTGTTAGTTTCCAACATGTGAAAATATTTGCCTTAAATTAATTACTAAAGATGCGCAACAAAACCTCTCCTCTACATTCGCCCTCTATCAAATAATTAACACAATACATTTTACACCGGGGATACCGAATAATGAAAACATAAATTCGAGTTAAGTAGAATTTAGCACATTTTGATGTAAATGGTACAAAGGACCCAGTTTGCTTCAGGAACATATATTATCATTAGTTCGTGTAATTGCCCCTAAGCCCAACATTACCGAATTTGTTTATCACCCCACCAACACGAAAATAAAAAAATATATTTCACAACTTCTCATTTAATTATATCCAGTTATACTGGGTGCGACAGAACTCGTACCCCAGAAAAAAATGCCATATAGAGTAAAATACCAGAAACATGGAAAAAATGTTTGAAAAATTCTATCTATAAAAATTTCGAAGTTATGAGAGTTTAACTTTTGCACTTTGACTCTATTTATTCCTGTTAGAAAAATATTTTTTCTTTTGCTACAGGTTATTAGAAGAGGAAGAGGTATCCTAAATTGTAACTCTGTTTAATGTTATTTGTGGCTTTTATTGGGAAAACTTTTAGAGCTTTACTTTATAAAAAAAACATATACAAGATCATCAGTATCATAAAATAGACATAAAAAAATGTCAAATGTCAAAAAAAGAATTTCTGAAACATTTTTTTCATGTTCCTGGTATCTTATCTTACTTGAAATTTTTCTCTGAGGCGCCAGTTCTGACACCCTGTACAAACACACGCAAAAAAATTTATTGTTTATACATAGAATATACATATACCAGGTGAATAAAAAGTATGAAACCAAACGTTTTTCGCTTAAACTATTTATTTTTTGGAAAAACTAATTGATGAATGATAAAGTGCTATAAAAATGTGATGTTTTATCAAGAATAAAATTTTTCGAAATTTTCTTTTGTTTTTGAGTTCTACAAAAAAATTTTTTTTTCAAATGGCAACCCATTATAAAACCATTTTTCTCGTAAAAGTTATGATCTAAGGATTACAACTATCTACTTTATAGTTAATTTTTTCAAATTTTTTTTTTACATAAATTGCAATTTTGACAAAAAAAATCGCAGAATTCAAAAACAAAATAAAATTTCGTAACTCAAAATACTATCACATTTTTTATATTACTTTAATTTATATGTATAAATCATTATTTTCTGAGGGCAAATGATTAAAAAAAAAAACGCTTGGTTCCATACTTTATATTCACCTGTATAACAGAAAGTATTCATAAAACACACGGAACTGTTACGGACTCATTTATTATCCAAAAAAATTAGAAAAATTCTCAAATTATACCCTATCAATAATTAGTTAGGTATATGAAATATCGCCAGTTTTAATTAATTTGAAGTCGCGATTTATCAAGTGCGCGTAACCGATGCCCCACCCGGTATAGCAATAATTTACATATTACATTTACACAAAATGTGTTTTTCCTAAACATGAAAATTGAAAATTATATCATATTCACCATGAACACCTAATTAAAATAACTACAAGTCCAGAAAAAGCATAATTTAAATAACTTCTTCGTTCCTTGACCAACAATACCGCAAACGTGTCCATAAAAAACTCATTTCTATTCGAACAAAAAACCTTATTTTCCATATACTTATTATTAGAACGTAATGTGTGGTTGCTCACTGGAAAATTTAAATGGCATTTAATAGCAAAAACGCTTGATAAGGCTAACAAGTATTATTGTAATTTCCAGAAAAAAACAAAAACCTTCCTGTTATCATAATAATATAAAAATTCAACTAGTCATCAGACAAACCAATATTTTAATGATTTTCAATGTTTATAAATTAGATTTAAATGTTTATTCTCATTTTATTTATTATTTAAAGCTGTTTCCTACAGAACTCTGCAATTAGAAAATTGTGTTTCAACACATCTTTCGCTTGTCAAAACGTATTTCCTAATTAATAATCGGCTTTAGTGCGCTTATAATTTGAAAATAAGCGGTTATATTTAAAATGAAAGTATGTATCTCTCACCTACAATCACGTGTTATACAAGTACATATCTAATAACCGACAACAATTATTGTAAATGAATATTTTCTTAACCCGAGGGTGAGCTTAGAAAGGATTACATCAAAAACCAGTGAACCTGACGAAAATCTACGGAAACGAATTTGAAACAAGAATGACTTTCAAGTGCTTTAACATAATGCGTTTTTAAAGTTATGAAAATTATTACTGTTATTAAAAATGAAAATTACATTTCCTTATATTATATGACATACAATTATACAAATTAAAATGCAAACCGTTCCAAATCGTTAACTCAAATGTGACTATCTTGTCTATGAACAGAAACTGTGTTTATATCACCTTAACAATTAACTGAAATAAAAATATGTGACTAAGAATGAGCCACATAATTAAATAACCTACTCCAAGAGGAACGAGATTAACTCGAAACATAACCAAGTGAAAGAAATTTATTTAAAATAACATAAAATTTAGAATCTTATTTTTATAAACTACCTTTTTATCCTTTTCCAGGAGTCAATTTATGACACAGATATTTTTCAATTAAAATTAATTGTTGTCAGGCTGAAAAATTTAAACGTTGCAGATAAACAAAAACAATTCATTTTACAAGACATTTTAAAAATTATGACTTTTAATTAGAAAAATTTAAATTAACACTTTGGCTCCTTTCCTTCATGTTGATTAACAGCAGCCAAGTCAAATAAAACAAAGTCGGAATTTTTTTTTAAAAACATAATAACCATATTTTTTTTACTACTAGATACTACTATTTTCTATTATTATTTATTTAAATGAGCATGTTTCAAAGTGCTACCGATTTAATAATTTTTATGTTTTATAAGCCATAAAATCACCTCAGTACTTCTAAATGTTTTTCATCAATGTACGAGTTTACAGTGAATATTTTAAATCAATTACAAATTTTGATTTACGAGGTACTAAATGTTCAGGTTAGAAAAGTCATAAAAAGTGAACAAAACACGCTCCAGAATCTAAAAATACCTCTCCTCACACAAACATTACATACAATAAATTTCATCATTCAAAAATTAATAAACAAGGGATGTATGAACCAGGTGTTCCGGACATTAGATCCGGAGTTTTGTATTTATTTTTACTAATTGCCTGTGATTGGAATTACAAATACATCTTTGTTCTGAAGAATAAGAAAATGCAAATAAATGTTGATAGCAAAGCTATAAATACTCGTACATAGTTACAAATATAGCCATATTAATGATTTTAATTACCTTCAATCACCAAACAATCACCTGAAACTTTTAAAACTATTTCACAATGAGGCAAAAACCTTGGACACATATTGTACAACTCACTCAAATAATTTCTTTATAGTTATTCAAACTAGGACACTACAAATTTAAAAATCATAAATCTGACCCACTGTTAATTATTTATGTTCTAGCGTGAGACACAGTCTTAACCCCTAATACGACAATACAATATTTCCACGCTCACCCCATATTTCAAGGTGAAAACTCCCCCATAAGTCTGTGGAATTCCTGAAAACGATCCAAATGCATGCAAATAAAACAGACATGATTTAAAAAGATGAATGCATTTAGATGCAAGGCTGGGGAGCTGTGAATGCCGACGGTCGTCGTTTCATGGCTCTCCTAACCCCGAAAGGAACTAAACCGTCAAAGCGCAAACTTCTTATTATAAGAAGACCTTGCGATAAAAACTCCCTATTTACATAATTTGACCGATGGCAAAAATAAATAGAAGCAACCAATTTGAGGCTTCGAGAAGAATATAAATTGAAGTTAACAAATATTAAGTACTATTAAACAAGTAATCATTTCTCCGCCAAATTCTCCAGTAATAGTAGATTGTCATTACCAAGACAAAATCTGATGAAGCGTCGCGGTTAGCATAAATAAAGCAACGACCACCAACGTTTGTATACTATTTTATTCACATCATACTCATTAAAGAACACAAAGCTAATAAAAACTTTATCAAATTTTAAAAAAACATAATTATGACAGTTCATGTTAAGAAGTGGTCACTCCCTTATCAGTTTTCAGGTTGGAAAGTAGCTATTTCCCATCCTGAACTGTCATATTACGTATCAACTGATAAGGAAGTGACCACTTCCCAACCTTAACCTGATATTTCATATCAATTGTTAAATGAAGATGAAATGTCATACTTTCCACCTTTTCACATACAAGGTAATTTGATTATTACTTTATGATTGGTGAATAAAATATTTTGGCAAACTTCCTATTCACATTGTGTCATTTCATTGTCAAAAAGCCATCCACCGAATTTAACATGCATCCAAAACTTTTTAGTAGGTAAGTAGGTAATTACTCCTGTTACTAAAACTAAAAATATTGTTAATATAATATTAGTATATACAGTGCGATCAAAAAGTCTTTGTATCAAGTAGGCGTAGTAGTTGAGAACTTATGTCGCCTGAGAATTCGTATGTCATCTAGATGCCGAAAAAATATTTTATAAAAAATTATAATATTGATCTAAGCAAATTGAATTACTATATGAAACGTCTTAAAACACCTTAAAATGAGATGTAGTTGGTGTTTATTCATACAAATCGTTCACCAAGATTTGTTGTTGCAGTTTACATAAAAATTAATTTGGCATTTCTTATTTGTCTTTGTGACATTTTATCTTCCAGAGACATACGTTTTAAATTTCTAGGCTGGCTTTTAGATCGAATTCTCGATCGCACTGTATGAACAATTACACGTTAGCGGTTTATTGTCTTGAAACAATTTTCAATCAATGTATGCAACAAAAATATGTATTTTGTAATCATTCTATTAATAATATTTTATTAATGGTTAATGGTTTCAGTCGAAAATTACAACATTGTACAAAGTGATCCAGAATGAATGAATCTGTTAGCAATCCTGACTCAAATTTTTAAAGAATATCATTGGAGCACGTTTCTAGTTAACAACAATTCAACATCTCTTGAGGGGTTGTACGTCAATTATTTGTCAAGTAAAACCGTATCAGGTTGCAGTGTTGGAAATTATTAATAAAAATTTGTTACAAACAGACACAGACTTTCTGGATAACTTCGTAGTAAAGTAGAGAGATTCCAAATTAGAATCAGAGCTTAGATAGGCATGATTGTTTGAAATTACAAATTAAGAATGTTTTTAAACAATCGTATTTTTTGGATTAATTAATTTTGTAACAGTGGAGTGGTGTTGTTATAAAAATTAAGAAAAAAATAAAACCTTACTGTAAAGCCCAAAAGATTTTGTAATTGACTGAAGTGGAGTTTGTTTACAACCAAATCCGGTATTAAACCTTCACTACTTTTTATGAAGCCTAACCGCAAACTATCATTTCTAGACCCCAATAAAGGGAGGTATATAAGCAGATTTTCTCAATGCTAGACCAGGCCCGTGTTTCATATACTTTTATGTGATGGTTACAGTTTTATGTTGAGGTAATCATAAACTTATTAAAGAATCAAACCCATAAAAAGTTGTAAACACGGTATATCTTTCGGTAGACTTTTTTTAGATTCTCTATTTCTGTTTCTCAAAAACTTTTACTAGAGACATTCAATTCATTCATATTCATACAAACTTCGTGTATTTCTTTTATCAAAAGTTCAAATTTCGGTATTGGTACTTTTTAAAAAAAAAAAGAAAAAAAGAAAGAAAATACAATCACTTAAAAGAGAAATTTAAAGAACAAAAGTAATTACTTCTCTCAAAAACATTGTGAAAACGTAAAAATTAGTAAGGATAAACAAAAAGAAATTGGGTTCTCAAATCTGTAATTCAATGTTTATGTTGAATCCAGGAATTATTTCAAAATGAAAGACAAAAAATTCATAACCTTTGTATTCATTTTTTGTGATTTTAATGATGCTTTGCGAAAATGTGTAAATTCTTTTTTTAAATCAGTTTTGAATAACAAAAACACAATAGAGGATACAAATGAATAACATAGAAATTGATTGCAATTTGTGATCATGAGATAGTACTCGTAACATTCACAGACTTGTTTTGTTTATTTTTTTGTTCAATATCTTCTTTATTGTATGTTGCTTATAGGTAATACATAAAAAATTGTGATCGTTATTAGACAATAAAAAAGTTTCCGTGTTTTATTCACAACCTAAGGTTATTTAAAATTAATTTTTAATTTGTAGATTTTGGTGGTTAATAAAAAATATACCCAAGTTGAACATATTAATTCGGATTGTCACAGCAACTAAGTTACTTTGGCAGAAATTAGTACACATTATATGTATAAACAAACAAAAATCAATAAACATTAATAAGGATATAAAAAAACTGATAGTAGCAGGGAATTTCAACTGTGAAATATACATACAATCATTTTACAAACAAGTAAATAAAAAATAACGATGCGAATAAATAAATATAATAAAATTTGTAAGCATAAAAATGGTGATTTTTTTATGTGAATTTGAACTTTTCATAATAAATACAAATAGAAATTATTCTGTAGCAAAAAACAAAATTGAGACCATAGGACGATATTTTTCAATTCAGAAAATGAATATAAAATTAGTTAAGAGTACATATTTATTAAACAAATGTAATTTTTATTTCAGTCGTGAAAGAAATTGTAACAACGTCCAAATACTATAGAAAAAAAAAGTTTAAGGTGGTGGTTGCATATTTAAAAAAATGATACAATAACAATATTTTACACGGGGGCCCAACTAGTTCGCTTAAGAAATTATTGAGTTTTGTGAATGAAGATTGTGATTAGGATTGAACTGGGAGTTACAATGTAAATTTTTGAATTTGTAAATTGTGATCACTCACCTATCAATTGTCTTTTGAAGTATTGACAGAACGTAAAAATCACACCTAACAAATGCTAAACGCTAAACATCCGAATAGGATTGATCACAATATCAAGTGGACTATCGTGGAAAATAAAGTAAGAGATGGCATGAAGAAAGAAACAAACCGGCCGGCTTTTTACGGTGAAACTGACAAGTTCGATGGAATATTCCTCTAAGCTAGCATGCGCACAGTGAAACAAAGACTCTTAACCTCACAAATTTAAATGAAAATTGCCGGAAAATCGTGGAAACTCACCAGAGACAGCCGTTTCGAGTGCATACGATGGCCGGACCGGTTCTATTGCACTGCAATTTGCGTATCCACACCGGAAATCAGTGGAAAATAAACGGAGGCTAACTGTTACATTAGAGAAGTGACAACCGGTGTCCGTTCGATACACTTTGACAATGAACTCAGCTGACTAGGGAAATTGCATTGCGCAATCGCATCGACCGGCTCGGGCCCCAATGTGAAAAATTGACTTTTTTTAATGGGAAATTTTCTGATTGCGGCCCAGCCGCCGCCCCCGAGCCCTTTCGCACTCCGGCGCGACGCCTCAAGCCCCGCTCGGCCCCTGCAATTATGTCATAAATCATATGTTTAGACGTCAAAATCAGCTGTTGAATTTATCAGTGCATAACTACAAGGTCTGCTCAAAAAGTCGCGTGAAAGCGGCCGCCTTGATCCTGACGAAGCGAAACGATACAGTGCCGGCTTTACGATTTTTTCAATTTACTGGAAAATTAATGACAAATATTGTCCCACTTTTAAATGAATTTACGCACGTTTTTTCGTGACGTGGATGAATACATCATTTAGTCTAGTGAATAATCAAAATTAAAAAAGATAAAGTGAAAGAGCTTGGACAGGTAATAATAATAAATCTCCCAAATGATAAAGGGTGGATCTAGAACACGATTTGTATATTTCTCTAAAATTTCTTCAAAGTAAAATTATTAAAATTATTAGTTTGTTTTTTTTTTATTCAACGAATAGTAAAAATATATTATGTTTTGTTACCTATTAAATAAAATTAAGAATGATCTACGATTATGAATTGACGGTGCTTTAGAAATTATTTTGTTGGGTCGCTTTGAGCAACCTCGCGACATCTCTGGGTAGCGGCTTCAATTGCTCCGATAACTGCTGCTCTGAAACCTGTAAAGATGAAAAATTCAATTAGATTAAAAAATTGTGTACTTTTATTTTTTATCTAGTGTGCTTAAGCAATTTTACATTCGCGGTTATTCAAAACAGTCGCTTATGTAGTGTTATCCTTTATACAGAGTAAACCAAAAGTAGCGCAATTTTATAGGTTAATTTTGTAAAAAAAATCCTTGGACAGATTGATATTATTTTTGTAAATGATATATTTTTATTATACTACTATTTATAACATCAATGATTTTTAAGTAACGACGTTATCACTATTTTTTTAAATGGGAATCAACATTTTTGTTTACTGTTTTTGATAATATATTTTTTTAAAAGATAGAAGAATCTCTGATCCCTGAGAAGAATGTACACCTATTTTTCAAAACAGTCAACAAAATTATTGGTTGCCATTTAAAAAATAATAATAATGACGTCATAAAAGTTACAATACTGTCAAAATGTAGCATTTATAAAAATAAAACCAACCTGTGTAAAAATTTTTTTTTTAAATGACAACAAAAATATGAATTTTGTGCGTTTCTTTTGGTTCATCCTGTTCCGGTTAAACCCTACATTAGAAGTACTGGCAATTCTAACACTTCTAACCATGATATTTGTCTAAAATTTTGTTAGAGACTCATTTGAGTTATTTTAGGTATTCAGCCCCCAAAAAGAGTTTTTCCGGGCGAAGAAATAAATTTGGTTACTAAGATGGCAATTTTTTTAAATTAATTAGAGGTTTGAATTCGTTTTTTGTGAGCTTTAACAAAAAAAATGTTGTTTGTAAACACGTAGGTATACCTAAAATGTTTTTGCGATCTCATCTGCAAACAGCAACGATACGTCCGCATAAACTGTAATTTAGGTACATACATACATACTTGTAACAAAAATAACTCTTATAGATTATAGCCATAATCGGTTAGGTCCTGTCCAATGAAAATACTTTCAAGATGATGGCACTTCCGGTTACACGGGAAATAGGTATCAACTTTGTTATTTTATTGTTTTTTATTGCATTTTAGGATTAATTACTTAAGTGATTTTGCCCGAGTTTTGTCAGCTTTCCCAATACCTAAGTTTAACCGTTTTCAAAATATTTAGACTTTTTTGAATTTTTTTGGATTTGCACCTTCCTACTCAAAAATCAATGTGGCAATACAGTGTTAGGCACTAGGTCCTATTGAAATTTCTGTTAATTTATACAAATACTAATAAATTATCTGTATTTTTCTTAATTTCTGGAATTTATTAGTATTCATAATATCCGAAAAATTTCCTTTGATGACAAATTTTAATTTTGGTGACAGATAACTATTCTCATTTTTTGAAGTTATAAGAATTATTATAATATTACTATACCTCGGCAATCTTTACAGAAAAGCTTGGGCTCAAGCTTACATCAATAATTGCTTTAAAATGTGCAATTGAAATCAATAAATTTTACTGCACAACATGTTTTTTTATTTCAGTGTCACAATGAGCATTTTGTGCAACTGTTTTCAGTTACACAAAATGCTCTTTCTGATACTGTTTTTAGAAACATTTGATGCAATATTTCATCATTTCATTATTGAGTGTTTTTAAGTAGAGAAATTGTTGTATTGCATTATTGTGTATTGTATTTCACCGAAACTAATCCAGTTATTTTGTCAAGCGATTTAGGTACCGCATACGTCAAATGTCTTCAATTTTAACTATTAAAAATAATAATGAATTCAATACAGAAAGCGCCCAATACAAAAAAAATAATATAAAAAACGCGTGTTACAACCTTTCATTGTGATACTTGTGCACTACGTGGCTGGAGTCACAAACTTCTCGTATCACAATGAGAATAGAATGGTTGTAATACTTGTTTTCTAATAAATATCCTATTTATTATTTATTTTTTAATACATATCTACTTACGTTGTGGGCATCAAAAATTTTGCCAACGGATTATCTAAATTTTTAATGTGTGCCTACAACTGTACCCTTTTTACGTTTATATTTTGTAGGGGCAAAACCCCCTTGATCCGTGCCACTTACGGCGTTTATGAATTGTTGCAATGATCAAGTACATTTTGATCAAATTAATACCATGGTTTCCACTACCTGTGCTAATACTATTTACGAACACATCAGTGGCGTACGCTTTACCTCGAAAATAACTTTAATAAATTTTATTTACAGAACGGTTAAACAAAGAATTTTTTAAATATTTTATCCAGCATGTTCTCATTTGATACTACCAAGGATAAGTTTTTGTCGGTCTATTTAAGAATCACCTGTATAATTACTAGTAAGTATACAAGGTGCGCCAGAACTTGCGCCCCAGAGAAAAATACAGTGTAACGTAAGATTTTGTTTCCGAGGGGGACATTTTTTACGTAATTTTTAAAGCACCTCCAGTAACCCCTTAACCCCCACGCAACACAACTTTAAAAATTTAAAGCTATTTTAGCAAGGTCTTCAAAACTTTTTACCAAAATTGAATCAGACCATCCACTCATGAGATACAGACTGTTAGAAAAAAACCCAAAACTGGTTAATTTTGTTTTTAAAAAGGACATTTTTTGACGCAATTTTAAAAGCACCTTCAGTAACCCTTTAACCTCTATGCCACTTAACTCTAAAATGTTACATAGCACCAACCACTTGTAATATAAAAAATGAAAATACTTTTAAAATGCTCTTTTTTTCCCAAATGAAATGATTCATAAAATATCGACAAAAAAAACTAATCTTTCAGCAGTCAGTATGTAAGTACAGAGGAACTTAAGAACTATTTTCTAGAAACTTACATTAAATTATAAGAAACTTTATTACCCCCCGTCCTTTAGTACGATTATTTTGACAATAAAATAAAGTAATAAAAATAAGTTTGTTACAGCTCCAATAATACTTATAACAATATTAGTAAGTTTCTTGTAATTTATATTAATAGTTTTTATTAGAAGTAATTACTAATTAGAAACATTATCTTTTGCGAATATCTTATGAATAGATAATCCCATTCAACTTTAGAAAAGAGGTACAAAGAACATTTTAGTGTCATTTGAAATTCCGAAATTGAGGTGGGAAAAAAATTAGTGGAGGTACTTTTAAAATCGTGTCCAAAAGTGTCTTTTTTAAAAACAAAATTTACCTGCTTCTTTTTTATCCAAATTCTTTCTGGTTTGTTTTTATTAGAACAGCCTCTATCTCATGAATGGATGGTCTGATTTAATTTTGGTAAAAAGTTTTGAAAAGCTTGTAAGTAAGGTAGTGCTATTTAAATTTTTATAGTTGGGGTACGTGGGGGTTAAAGGGTTACTGGAGGTGATTTAAAAATTACGTCAAAAAATGCCCCCCTCGGAAACAAAACTGACCTGTTTTGGCGTTTTTGCAAAGTCTTTTTAATTTCTGAGATATTCGTGGTGGTTCATTTTCATTGGGACACTCTGTATGTTTATATGTATATAAAATACCCGTAATAAAATAATACATATTAAACTAAAAGAAAATATACTCGTGCCAATATTCGAATGCAAAGAACGGCTGCAGAAAAAAATAGGATTGTATTACAAAAGATGTTACTTTTCTTTCAGAAGAAGCACCCTTGCGTAATAATATAACCCTATTCTTTTAAGTGCTCTGTTTTAATGTAGTATCTATAATATGAAAAATATGTCTAAATCCCGTCATCATAAACCTCGCTGAAGATTTAAAACCTGCGTGTGTGCTGCAGTTCCATCAAAAACGCATTACACAAAAACCACAATCTGGCACTCTATAGTCCCGACTATTTTGGAACTCACCACCGCCATCAAATAAATCATAACACACGCACACCGCCTTAATGAAGTAATAAATCCGTCAAATTTTTACGACTCACCTTTCTGTTCGAGAAAATGCAATCCGGCCGCCGTAGATCCGGCCGGGGAGGTAACATCGTCTTTGAGAACTCCGGGATGCGTATTGGTGTCCCTCACCATTTGCGCGGCCCCTAAAACCGTCTGCGAAGCTAATCTATATGCTAAATCCCGCGGAAGACCCATCTTCACCCCGCCGTCGGCGAGCGCTTCTATTAAGACATAAATCTGGAAAAATAATTTCGCAAATCACACTAATAAGAAGCGCCATTTACATATGCGGGCCCGGAGCCACTGAGGGCCGTTATGGCGTCTAATAAATTCTCGGTGACTTGTTCACATGTCCCCACTGATTTGAGGAGTTTTTTGGTAATCTCCGCGTCCTTTTCGGTGGCTTTGCTGCCAGTGACAAAGACGGAAGTGCCACTCCGAACGAGAGCGGGGGTGTTTGGCATCACTCGAACCACTCGAGACTCCGAAGGCAAAAACTGGTAAGTTAAATTATTAGATGGGTTCAAAGTTAAGTGCCGGAAGTCACCTGTTCGAGCTGTTTTATTGTTACTCCCATTGCGATTGATAAAAATAATTTGTCGGCTTTTACATCTGGAGCTTTTTTTATGTCGCCTAAAGCTATAGGAACGACGGAGGGTTTCACAGAAACGATAATAACGTCCGATTTTTTCACTACGGGGACGTTTTCGAAAAGAGATTCAGCTCCTAATTCCTAGTTTCAAAATTTTATTAAATAAATTAAACTAGAAGTATAGGTGATTAATCGATTTAATCAAAATAAAATGTTTCCATTGCAAGACTAAATCAAATACACTGCTATCACACTTCTAAAAATAGTTTGTGCAAAAATTCTTTTACCTTAAAAGCCTTCGCCGACGCCAAATCCGACGGATGGCAGCTAGAAATCATTGTTTCACCCTTTGCCAATCCTAAGAAAACTTTTAGGAAATATTTGAAAGGATCGTTACAACTGACCTGCTGAAATAAATCCCTTAGCCATCGCTTGGGCCATTTTTCCGCCTCCGATAAATCCAATTTTTAATAAATTGCTCGTCATTTTGATTTTGTCTTGGAAGCACAACCATGCAGAACGCACTGTTTATGTCAATTTTGTTATAGCAAATAAATATTGAGTAATGACTGGAGAGAAGACTAATAATATCTTCTTATCAATAAGTGTGTACTCGATTTTTTGGTAAATTTCCGATGATAGCAAACACAGCTTTAATATATTTTGTGTAATCAGATATGGGTTAGTCGTAATAAAGGGATTTTACTGGTAGACAGGTACGAAATTTACTGTAAACAAGAAAAAATACCTGACCTTAATATTTGTTTGCTATTTAAAGTGCTGAAGACATGAGTTATTTGATAAAATCCTGCATTATTTGTTTCAAATTGTTATCGGTTCAAGTGAACTTTGGGTTTATTTTTGAACATTGGCTCTTCGCTTGGTAATTAGGTACTAACAATTAGTCCAAATATACTCAGTTTTTGTGCAAAATACTTTTTTACAATATGTTTGAGATTTCCTCACCTTTTAAGATAAAAATAAACAAATCACTTGACTTTGACATAGTTTTGTTTTGTGTTTCTTTCTCCCGTAGGTCTAAAGTAGTACCTACTTTAAAGGTAATCAAGGTATAAAAAAATAACTACATCCTGAGTAAACTTTACGAATAACAGCAATCTGTAAAGAAATAAAAATTTTGTAGATACTTGTACCCAAAAAATTTGTATTTAATGAAAACTGGCACTGTAATAAAAGTAGCAAACCATAAAAACTTAGCGGGAATATTTTTTTTTCAAACAGTTATTGCCGGTCAAATAAAAAATTAGGTACTTTAATAGTTTAGATGCTTATACAGTTCGATCAAATAAATAAAAATGTTGAGTAGGTAACACATAGAATTTATTTTAATTAATTTACATAAATAATGTTCAAGATATCTACATGTATATACAAATTCTATCTTAATATTTAATTATATTGCCTACAAAAAAATATATTAAACGAAAAGCTTCGAGTTTCTACACAACAGACTAATGACAATAGCATTATGATATAAGACATTAAAAAACGAAATAATCAAAAACAAGATTAAAAATATTGTGTTATTAAAAGTAAATATCTATAGATTTCTATAACTGGATAATAAAATAACAAAATCTATAATCTTCAGTTTTAATTAAAAAAAGAAAATCATTGATAGCTGATAGCTGGCATCAGGTACTTAGAAAAATATTATTTGTACAAAAAAATCTATAAAATTAGAAACACCTAAAATAAATGACAACGATTAAAAAACTAATTTATCACTGGAATAACAATACTTTAAAAAGTCCTACGAATGAAATATCAGCAATAGTTGCATTTTAAAAGGCTTATAAAAATTCTAATATCGTTAAGTCATGGAGTACATAATTGGATGGTTTGATTGAATGCATGGTTTACAATCTGACTTACAAAAATCGAAAATTACTAAACCAATACGGTCTTGAGCATTAGACAACAAGGGCACTTTCGTTTTTAGTCCGAAAAAGCATGATACTATTTATTCAAAAATGATGTCAATCTTAGAATAGTGATAGTTTCGTTGGTGGATAATGAAAGCGCCCTTTAATAAAATTGATAATTTAAAAATTTGGCCCCACAATCAAATCCGATACAACTAAATATTTGCAATAACGTCATGGAGGCTAAATAGAAAGACATTTCCGTAAAAGTGTGATGTAGGTGGATGGAGATTCTAGTAAAATGCGTCTACTCTTACAAATGATAAAGCACATCACAATTACGCAAACTATTGACTTTTAAAATTTATCACTTTGTCGATAGCGTTACAACCTTAGCGAAACCTTGCTTGGTTTGTTTATCTATGACATATGTTCAGCCACCAGTCTCATGTTCATGTGGACAGTTTGATTATTTATTTTGAGGAAAAATGTCGTCAATTCCGTCAAATAGACATTGTAAGTAGATATTATTAAAAAGTACTGTGAAAGTAGTGTCACTATTTTCAGTATATTATAACGAAAAAAGCCCGGAACAAAAACAACTAAAACAGAAAAAATAAACCTTTATTTTAAAATGACAAAAATATAAAGAGAACCTATTAAATAATTTATAAATATAGTGAAGCCGTCTCAAATGAATAAATAATACAGGAGCTGACATGAAACAAAAATATGTAAAAGTTCCTAGTCTAAAATTGGACGAATATTTGTAAATACGCTAACATTTTTACAGTACCAAAAAAAACCGGTTTAAAATACGTAATTCGTCAACAACAACTCAAAATGCTACTTTAAAATAATAGTGAATACTTAAACCCTACAGAATTGAACTAAAATCACAATCCACTGACCATTCAGTCAAGCATTGTTTGCAAAATATTTTGATTTGTGAACAAGCAACTAATCTCCAAGTATCGTCAGAAGTGCACCTAACTAAAACACGAACATTCTTTTTTTCTTTTAGAAACAAGTATCACAAATTTTCTTCGTGTTTGTAGTTAAGTCTGCCAAGACAATCACATAATGTCTAATATAGACGTTCATCAAATGCCATATTTGCAAACTAGAGAGTTTATTCGCTAAATGAGTAAGGTAAATGCTATTTGACGGGATCTAACATATCTTTCAGACGCTTCATTACGTGAGAACCAATGTCTTGTACTTCTGGCCATTGTCTTAAGATAAAAACTGTTGCTAACACTATGAACACCGTTGTAAGAATTCTCACCCTGGAAAAAACAAAAACTGGGTAAATATTTCAAATAAAAAATAAAAACTCATCATGCTACATCATTTATTAGTAACTCAATAAAGTTATTACGTTAGGTAGATGCATTTACTAAATGGTGTTTATATTTTTTATTCTTTATCTACTGTAAATTTAAACAGACAGGGTAAATTTCTTTACAGAAAAGACGTTTTGCTAAAACCCACTAAAATTTTTATTACTTTTAAGTTAAATGCGGTATTGTTAAGAGTAAACCAGAGGGTGAACATATCATAAATCAGTGAAACCCACCCGGATCGAGAAACTAGGGAAACAAGTCAGTTTTTAACAGGGACGGATTACTTACTTTCTTTTTGTCTAAAATACTTAAAATATTTAAATAATTTTTGTTGTAATTGTAATTAAAGTCAAGTATTTTAAGAAATTTAAAAAAGCCAGCCATGTGGTTGATGACAAGCTATTATTAAATAAGGCTGATTTTTTTTATAATAGCTTGGTAAAGCTCTACCACTACTTTGGTTTTAAATACGGGCCTGTTTTATTCTAGTGGATGCAGCAACACTTGCAAAGGAACGTGACATTTATGTAGCCATTGTTTAGTTAATCCCTCATAAAATTTTTAGTAGATCTTAGCAAAATGATTTTTCTATACAATGTTGGTAACACGTCTGTGGAACAAAAATTAGCAACCATCACAAAATACCTATATTAAAGTTAAAAGCAAAATGTTTAGTATGCAAAGGTGACAGCCCGAGTAGACTTAATTCTCCTTACAGATAATACGTCTTTAATCATAACAATGTATACTACTCAAACACGCAAAGAATTTTAAATTTTGATAATTTTTAAATATGAGTGCCATTAGATGCTGAACCTGCGCCAGCAGCGACAGTTCTTTCTCATAGACTTTTTATTTACTTTATCCACTAGTGAAGAAAGTAATAACTAAATTTATACATTTTTGAGATTAAAGTGTTGCTTCAAGCGACAAGAAATACACTTTAATGGTAAGTATTGTTTTAATCGCCTTGTAATTTTTGCACCATTTAGCAAATGCCACACCACTAAGAGGACAGCAAAACCCAAAGACACCCACACACACACACACTGAAAACAAGCGAAGTCAGTCTGGATTTATCACAGTATTAAATCTTTACTGTCTAGTAATAATTTACAGTAAAATAAAGCAAATCCCTTTTACCTATCACGTTTTGGACACAGTTCTTGTAAAAACGGAAGACCTTGCGGCAGTAATAGAGTATTTTTCCGACGATCCATCCACGATTTCAGTTACAGTTACAGTTCTATCATAATTCCTAACATGAAAAACAATAGATAATAATCATGTGCAATTCATGTAAACCAAGACTGACATTGAATTTAAAGAAAAAACAAAAAATCGACAAAAGCTTACCTTGTACGAAGAAACGGCATTATAATACCGGCACCTGTGGCCACTAAGAGTAAAACAACCTGGAGAACAGTGAGCAGTATATTTATTAATTTGACAACTAGAGCTCTCGCGTTAGAATTATCCAAGCCTTCGAGTGTGACGTACTGCTGTTGCTGGAGCGCTTGATGCTCCATTTTTTGTATCTAGAAGCGATCGAGTTAAAAATTAAACAAAGCACAAAAACGAACAATTACTTTAGTCTGACAGTTATCTAGAATTTCGTGGATATCCCTGAGACGTTCCTCGCTTTGATATTGCACTTTCTCTTCCATATCGGCCATGGCTTGTTTCAAATTTTCGACTTCGTTTTGATGCAATTCGGTTAAGTCGTTAATTTGTTCCTCTAATCGTTCCGTTCGAAATCTCTCCTCCTATTTGGCAAAAATTAAAAACTAATTTCCCACAAAAATTCGCCCCATTTACCTGCAGTGCGGCATGCAGATACTGTATTTCCTGCGGTAGCGACTTCATATGTTCGATCTTTTCTTTCAAAGCTTCTATTTCTTCCTGTTTTGCTGTCAGTTGTTTGTACATAACTTTAAATGAATCTTGATTTGATGCGCTCTCTTGACCTCTCCCGAATCTGGATTTAAAGTAAATCGTTAGATCATTAGCAGATTTATTAAGTGCAAACGACGGTTTTCACTTTTTTGAATTATCTATTTACACGATAACGTAATTGACGTTATCAAACTAACATGAAACGAGTTAGGTGTCATTACCAATTTGAATACGAATGCATTGGAACCGTGCCAATTCAGAGAAGCGTGCAAAGTTTATATTCAATAAATCGCGTTTAGTAATAAGTGTAGGTTGCTACTTTGAACTTAACTCTACAATGAAGCTTCGGATATTGGATAACATAATAAATTAATTTTATTGAAAACAATTTATGGCAGCCGTAGCGAGAATGTGACCTTTACAGTATTATCACATGTTTGAATAACTACTTCTTGTAAACAAAAAATTGTGCTGCTAAAATTCGTAATAATAAATAAAAAAAAATATTATTCTTAAAATTAGTTATCGATTGGTAACATTCAACTGAGTCAAAAAAATATTCACTTCTAAAAACAATTTTACTAGAAAAATCAGTAACTGAATATACAGGGTACCGGGCCATCTGTTGGGTGATAATAAAGTACACTCAGAGTTAAAAGTTTCTATGACAAAAATTTGTTTGAGGTTTTTTTACAAGATACTCGTAGCTCTTTAAAGATTAGGTTTTAGGTTGAGTTTCTTGCCGTTCAGGTCATTCATTCGTGAGTTTAGTTTATAGAAACGGCAGATTTTGAAACATTAAACAAATACCTATTAAAAAAGTCACCAGTTTGTGTCTTATGGTGTACAAAACATTTAGCAAACTAGTAAACTCAACAATAAATTAAATCCGACATCCAAAAAAAAAGGATGGAAATTGACTGTTTTTTTCTCAAAAAAAAAAAAACAAAAAAAATCTACATTCAGTTTTAAGCTTCGCTGAAAATCTTCTAAACACCATTCGAGAGTTGGCCCAATACTTTTAAAAATATGCTGGCACTACTTGTAACAATCGTTTTTTAACTATACAATATGTCCCCGGATTGAGTTTACAAGAGGAAAACTACTCCAAAATTGCAAAGGAAAAACATTTTTATCGCTTAACGTGAAATGAGCAAATCTGTAATTAAAACTTTATTATTCTAACTCAGTGGAAAGAAAAGTAAATTTTTCTCTTGATTTTAGATTTTTAATTATTGTTTAAATTCCATCACATTGGCGGTTTTGTTTTTTTTGTCACTTTGATAAATGAGTTTACATAAGTTAAATAACAAAGCTATTTGTGAAAAACAATTTTAATATATGGCAACTCAAAAAACAACTTAAAACAATGAGGTTTTAGGAACAGATTTGTTCGTTTCAGGTGAAGGTGTTTTTTGTAGTTTTGGCGTAAAATCAAAGATAATTTTTTTTGTTGTAAACTCAATCCGTATCGTATTTTTATTTTTTAAAAGCGTACGTTTGTATCTGAACTGTGAGATAATTACCTAATTACACTAATTTAAAAATGAGTAGAACCATTCCGTACCATCCACCACAAGCATGAATTAATGATAAAAATGTGATTAATGTAAAAATCTGTCTATTTTTAATTTAGTAAGATTAACAAAACATTAAATCATTCACGTGCCTCTAATTTCGGCAACTGCTTCTATAAGAAACATTTTTTGAACTTATTTTAATAATAAATGCATTTTTATTGAATCAAATTTCCAAGGTTTGGAAAGTTCCATCTAAATATTCAAAGATAATCCTCAATAAATTATAATTCTTGTTAATAAAAATTTTTGGCAGTGATTCAACCGTGTGACAACTTGTTGCACGAAAATTCCACAAAAAAAACTTGAAATAACAAATAAAAGTAACAGAAATAGAAGTCGCATCCCATCAATTATAATTTTAGAAAATACTGACTAATATATTTCTTGAAAAATCAATAGTAAACATAATTTTATCTTTATCACAAACATTGACCCTGTTATCTATTAGCAAATTTACACTTCAAGCAAAATTTGCAATTATCTATGAACGCAAGTTTGTAATATCCTGTTAAAAAAGTTATACAAAATACTCGTAATTTTTTACTTATACCTGAATAAATTGAGTCAAATTATATTTTTTCCTACGACCATATACGAAACTAGATCATAACAATTACAATTACATATGTGAGGTTATTCGAGGTCAAAAACCTGTGCGATTTGTTTTCGCGCTGTGTGTTAGAAATCTAACGCACAATTCACACTCGAATGTTTTGTATTTTTTCATTCAACGTATTTTTTTGTATCCATTTTATAAAGTAAATCGTTATGAAAAAAAAAAATGTTTATGGTCGTAGAAAAAATAGTGTACAAAACTTGCAGGAAAGTGTCTAACGCACTCGCGAAATTGCAACTTTCTCGCTTGTGCGTTATTTATCACTTTCCGTGCTCGTTATGTAATATACTATTACTTATTTAAACATTTGTCGAACATTAGATTTACATAATACATACACGAAATGCAAAGCATTTTTTTCAAACCTCTTTTGTAAGAATATGATGACAAAAAATATAAAAAAAAATATAAAGAGGTAAACTTATCTTTAAAAAAAATTCACGGTGTCCCAAATAATAAACTTTACTGCAGATTTTATAAAGCATTTTTTAAATAAAGTTACTTCTCACTCAGTATAAATCAATTAAAATTATAGTGAAATTTCTTCAAGTAACTTAAAAAAGAACTTGAAATTAACTCATTCTGCACATTTGGTACGAAGTGCTAAATACAAAAACTGTTTTTGTACAATACTCATATTTCTGTAAAAGCATCATAAAATCTTTTCAAATATTATGGTTTTGCATCGTATCCTTGAAATTCCGTCAATACAACACTAAAACTTCATTAAATAAATAAGTTATTAAAGACTTCAGGCCGCAATAAATTATTAATTAATTCTTAAATGCGAAAACCAATCAATTTTTTCTTTATCATTATATTGATTATACTGTAAAAATACATTTCTTTTTATTGTTACCTTCCGATACTGTCACTGGTAACACTACTACACTCGCTGCCCTCATCACTAGGAAATTTCGCCCTATGGGGTTGCCCCATTGACGTCTGCGATGTGGCCGTATGCAACGTCGCAGGCAAAGTCGCTGATCCATGGTGCACCTTCTCCCCTTGATCACTTCCGGTACCACCATTGGCTCCGCTACCTTCGGATCCGGTCGCTCCGGGCCCTATGTACCACGCTACGGATTATAATCATGGTGTTACAGTGCGGTGCGTAGCCATGCTTCAATAGTATATAGTGCGTTGTTATGCTTGAGTTATTTAGTGTTGTTAAAAAAATCGAAAAACGATTTAAGACATCGAATTTAGTGTCTGTATAAGTCAATGAGTCGGGCATGCAACCAATTAGCTTACTTGGACTAAGATATAAGTTACGGAAAGAAAATGGGACCAAACCACCACCTAGAGAAAGTCGACCGAAAATAATTTTTTTGGAAAAAAAAATTTGTTTGCACAAAGCTTGATTTTTGTTTGTTGAAGAGTATTTCACAATTATTTAACATGCATGTTTGCTGGAAAATTAAATAATGTCTAGGTGTATTCCAAACAATAGAATGAGTGTGACACGAGGCCATTATTTAATTTTTTCAAGTATGTACAGTTGAATTTCTAACAATAACACAATTAAATTACCTTCGACTAATATTTGTTTACTTTAATATTAGTTAGGGATATTTTCCGGGGGCATTAAATAAGAAAAAAATACGTATAAAGTTTAACTATAAATTTGAAAAAAAAAAATCAAGCAAAGTTATAACAGTCATCAGGATTTGATTGGGGAAAACTACTACTGTGTCAAAAAAATAAAAAACCAAATAACTTACTTGAGAGCTGGCTAATGTTATCCGCACTTCCAAATTTATTTTTAATTAAATGAGCAAACTCTCTAGGCTTCGACATGACCGATCCGCTGAACCCTGTAATGCCATCTCGAATATTTCCTCCCACATTCCTGTGATAAAAATTATTTTTACGATTGTGAATCAATTAAATATGACTCCAGCTTACTTCAAACCTTGTCCCATATCACGTAAAACTTCTCTCGTAGGTCTATGACTTTGAACTAATCCGTGTGTTTCTAATTCATGAACGCGTTTCTGATACGTGTCCAATTTTTTTTGTAATTGCGATATGACCTGTGCACTTTTTTGGTTCTTTTTCTCGAAAACGGCTTTGATCCTTTGGACTTGCTGTTTATCGGCGTTAGCTGCCAGTTTAAGGTATTCGTTTACGTTGTCTGGAAAAAATTCACATTCTTAGTCTTGTTATTAATTTAGATCGATTTGCAAACACGAGTTTGAAATAATAAACTGGGAGAGGCCGTAGGTGGCAAACTGTTGACTAATTAATTCAGGATTTCAACAACAACAACAGCTTATGCAAACCCCATTTACAAAGTTTATTTTTTATTTCAAGCATATTTATTTATTTACAATCTAATTTCGTATTTCTTGAAATAAACTTCAGTTTCAAGGTACATTTTATTACTTACAAATACAAAAAAAATTGACAATTATTTGAATATGATGACTAATGGTGTAATTAGGTTTTTTTTCCAAATTAAAGGAGCGAATGCTCGATAAAATTCCCTAGATTGCACTTGCAGAAACACGCTGAAGGATTATTTCGAACGCATTCACACGAGAGTAAAAATAACAGGAAACATGAATGTAGAATAAATATTTGCGGAAACGTAACGTAGCTGTGAAAATTTTAAATTCATCAATATTTTCATTTATCATACAACATTAAATTATAAATATTATATCTACAAAAAAAAACTGACGTGTCTTTTCATACTTAAATTTATTTTATTGCTCTTGTGTAGGTCGCTTTAATTTTAATGAAACAGTCTTGTTTAATAACTACTGTTTGATGGATTTTTAATCACAAAAGTAATAACATGAAATTTATTTGTTTAGGAATAATGAATAGTATTTCACAGTCAAGCAATAAACTTTATGCCACTAAAACTATACAATTTTAGTTTTTTTGTTACAAATTTAAATTTGTATGGAAATGTAAGTCCAAGGTTACTAGTTGGCAGAGTTACAAGTAAAAATTGAAAGCGTTTGACTTACCTCCAGTGGAGTTAGTTTTTTGTTTCAAGAAAAATTCGACTTTAATGTCAAGGTTAGGAAAATCGTTAAGATTAAAATAGCAACCCTGTAATGTTTTAAAAATACGGATTTTTATAACGATCATGTGGTATTATCTACATCTGTAAAAACTATAAAATGAAAATTACTTAACTGGAAACATAAAAATCTAATGGCTACAATTTTTTAATTGATTTTGAAGATTAGTTAATTCTTTATAAAAACAAAAAAATACCTCTCATTAAACCGCTAAACCAGGTCTCAAAAAAATAATAAAAAAACTACAATAATCTTATAAATAAAAAATCATTATTTATTTAAAGACTACTTAAATTCATAGAAATTCCTTCAATAAGATTCGTCAAATTTTGAGAAATTGCATCAGATTTCTTGAATGTTTTTTCAAATTAGTAAACTTATAATCGAACTGATATTTTACATTTTTTTTAAATTTGACCAATTTTTAAAGATAATAATAAACCAAAAAAACTTACCAAACTAAATATCTGACCACAACATCTTGTTTAGGCAACATTTAAAAACCTAAATATTTGGCTAAAATAACTACTAGCCGTTTAATACAATTTTTCAAATATAGTATTTGATCACAAAATATCAACTGAAATTATACATTTCTGCCAACAGAAAACATCCACACAGGATTTATTTTCCCTAGTGGTAAAACTTTCATAACAATAATTTACAACGTCTGTATATCCTCATCAAATTTTTTACTTGTTGCGAACTTCGAATCCTTATCGTAACATTAATAAAGATGTCACGTCGTAAAGGGCCCTAATAAACAAAACACAAGGATAAACACAACCATTATCCTTCAGACCGCACACTAATAAACAGTAGTCATCAATATTTAAATTAAAAAAAAAAAAAACTTCCACCGTTTAAATCGCAACTTTCCATAAAAGAACGAAAATCCATTTAAGCTTGTCTCTCTTATTTAGCTACACGCTTGATTAGATTATTTTATACGGGAGCTCACCTCTACGACTTGACCTCACCGGTGAAATTAAATTTCAAAAAAGCCGACTTAAAACTTTATGAAAATTAATGCTACATTCAAGCCTTACCGTCTCTCATTTTCTGTTCCGTCTTTATAAGGTCTCTCACTCTAATTATTTTATTCGATAACTGTTCAAGTGTTGCACTAATTTTGGGATCGATGTTGTCGGTCTCATCGTCCTGTTTGACGTGTTCACTGCTACCGTTGGAAAAAAACGAGGTGTAACAAATATCGGAATTATCGGCTTCTGCTGGCCCTGAATCGTCCAAATAGACGTGACTTCCGTCTTCCATGTCCGTTCTGTTGGTGCTGGTCGTGGGTGAACGGTGTCTGGAGGGCCGATGTGAGTGTGTCGTTACTCCACCATCTTGAGACTGTAACAAAACCAAGTTGTAACGCCAGTAACAACCACTTTACGTACTCATCTCGCACGTACCATTATTATTTCATTCGGAATGAGCCATTCGTAATGGTCGTAATCGTTATCCATCGCGAGCATTTTGACGAAATTTAATTCCTAACAATTGCTTTAAAATTCAAAATTTCATTCCATCTCGACGGAATAATAAATCTGAATCTTTGAAAATTTGCATATTGTTGGTTGGAAATACGGTAATTAAATAATTTATCTAAATACCCACTCACCCTAAATTTTGTTCTCATTGTACGAAAACGGAGCACGCAACTAATTAGAAGTTGAGAACATCAACAAGCAAATTTCGCGATGCTAATAACAAATGTAAACAATTATTTACTCCTGAAATTGCTCAACTTTTGTACTAGCTCGGGTCAAGTAAACAAATCTTTGCCAATTATTTGTGAAAACATTCGAGTTTAATGTCCGGAAAACGTACGTCTTCGGTGAATTTCCGGTCTTGTACTTTTTTCACGGTCATTCTACGAAAACAGAATTTCGTAAAGTTAATGGGAGACAGATGTTACTGAATTGTTGGTGTTTTCCACCAATTGCAAACGTTTAAAGATGGCATTGGAACTGCTTTAACTTTTTAGTGAAATCAACAAAAGAATAAATTCCTGCACGAAAATTAGAAAAATAAAGCAAGTTAAAAAAGATTAGAACACGTACATAACAGAAAATGTCAGATTAGCGTTTGTAACGACTTTTGCAAATTATTTCTGCCCACGTAAATGTGTCGTAACTGCACACATACGAAAACCCCTACATTATTTAAATTTTTATTATTATTAAAATAAATTACGTAATTTTCTCACATCGTTAAAAATTAAACTTTCACATTTTTATTAAACACAATTCTAGTTATTTTTTTTGTTCGTATGCCACGAAGGCATTCTAAAGACTGATGCCAGCGAATGCTTAATTTAATTTTAATTTGGTGCCAAATCTTTTGTGCATGAACTTAGACCACTTTGTTATCTTGCCGAATATTTTTTGATCAGTGTTGCCAACAAGATTTACGTCACTTCATTCCATTTAACGGCCACCTGACAGATCCCTGGTTTATTACTCTTAAAAATTTTGTCTCAGACAAAAAATCCACAAATTCTCGTCAGAAATTAGAATCTTGCGAATTTGTATTAGAAAATAAAAAATTCTAAAACCAACAGGCCTCGACTAATTATAGGTAGAACAATCTGTATACTAAAAAATACTAAACAAATAAAACCATTATTATTTCCAATTCCAATGAGAAAGAGTACCCTCATTGTCAAAAGCGACTTCCTCCAAATTCTTCAAAGTTGAGAAGAAAACTTTTAAGAAAATTCATTATAAATTTAAACACCCGACTTCATTGTCATTCGAGCAAAAACTGAACTGACGTATTTATCAGAATTATAAATAGAACTACTTAATAAATAATTCCATAAAGCTACATAAAATTAATAAATTAATAAAATTTCTACTCTAAAACATGAAAAGAAAACTTTCTCAGCAATTTACAAAGCTGATACAATTATGTAACTTGTCAAAATTCTAACAAAGTTAAAGAAGTATCCGGTAACAAAATTCAATATAATCAAAACTTACTTGCTCGGGGTACTTAGTTTTTGCACAAAATTTACGATCGAATCTGCTATGCACCTGATGTAGACTAAAGTAAATTATAGCGACCGGTTAATTATTGGTTAAAAGATTAAACAAACAGAATGACGTCAATTTCCGTTTCCTTTTAAAAAATCGAAGCCGACTTTCAAATTTTTGCACATCGATTACCTTTGCACTACATTCTTATCGATTTATGCCAATCTGTACAATCTGCATACCTCGCAGAAAATGTAGAAATTTGACTAAAGGAAATACCGAATTGATCTCACCAGACCTTCGTCAATACCTACTTTAAAACAAGGGATCGAGGGAATAGACAAATTATTAAATTAGGTACTCACTTCCGAAGATTACCTCACATGTAACACGCAAACTGAAACATTTATTAATTCACACGAATTCGCAGCGGCGAGACGAATTTACATAATTATTTCATTCCTTCAAACTCAAATAACCTATGAATGAACTAATTAGTCGATAAAAGAAGTCGACAAGCGTACTCGGGAGATAATCATCACAGAATCAGATGCAACTTTTCAATAATCCTCAACCAAAAACTCAATAATAATTACATAGCACAAAACCCAATGCCATTGCTCTACAGAAAGAAATATTCACAAGGAGGAAGGGTTCAAGGTTCTCTACCCACACAACAAACCGTTTTCGCAATGCAATAATAATCTGCTATAAATTAACCGCGATTTTGTCAAAAATGTAATCACAGCGGAATTGTGCACGTTTCCCGTCTTGGATTTTCCGCACCAACTTTCGAGAGTGAAAGTGCGAATCGCTCCCATTAGGGAGGAAATTTGAGACACCACATCTATTAGTGACACAGTTATGTAACTACACTGACTCAATGAAAACCCTTTCGAGTCCTATCTTTTTATATTTCATGTGAGAAAATGATCCATCCGTATTTTAACTTGAATTATTCACATTAATCGATACACGCGCCAATAATGGATGCTCATCGGCCGTAAATTTACTGTTTAATTTTAAAACAATGACGAACAAAACACACCTCAACTGCGCCCCGGCTCTCAACTTGTCTTTATTAATCAACTTTTTTATTGCAAATTAAGGTCGCAAAACTTTTAATTAGTCAAATGGACGACGAAATTCCTGACCCAAGTTTCCCCCGACGAAAAGAATTTCGACCCCTTTTAACCTACGAGTATATAAGTCGTAACTGATCATTCTCTTCGATGTGTAAGTTACATAATCTAATGGATATTAGGCAAGTATGCGCATCCCTTTACCTCTCGATTTACTGTTAGAAAATAATGTTATATATACCCGCATTCGCAGAGTAAATGCGGAAAAGGAGCCGCAAGGATTGTGCTAATCTATAGTGCGGACATTCTTACTTTAGGCAACACAGTATTATAGTTAATTACTACACAGAGTTCAGTCATTTATTAACAAAATAAAATTTCTTAGAACAAATTTACGTGCAATTTTATTTAATTTCTTGTTCAATAGTACTGTGCAAATTAGTACATTTGTATTTACTTCGGTAAATACATATAATTACGTCGATTACACTAATAAATCTAACAGTTTTATGCAATTTCAATTGGCATAATAAACTTAGGATCTACCATCGTAGATGGTTCCTAACATCTAACGAACTAACTAAATTTTGTTGGTACAGTCGCGTTGAAGCAAAAAAATGCCAAAATATCATTTATAAAATATTATAATAAGTATACGTATGTTACCTCTCCCTACATCACTGTCACTCATCATTCCCATCACTTTCCTGTTTGTAATGTAGTCGAGATAAAAGTCCTTTGAAAACAAATATCATTTTAGATTTAGATGACTCATTAGTATGAAAAGTGACCTTAAGAAAACCATCCGGAAATTTTATCCCGGAATTCAAAAGTAAAATTCGACTCTGTATGCGGAACATTACGTCCGCTTTTCAGTTTTGTTTTATATTTAATGCTGGAGGCTGCGGTTTATTTTGATTGAGGAGAGGCCAAACATTCAACAGAAAAATCAATACTGGAACGAGAATCAGATTCTAAAATATCAATTATTAAAAACAAAATGTTTTTAGAGAATATGAATCGAAATTATCTTTCTAACCCCGCAGCTGAACTTTAACCTTTGCTCCGTATAGAAGGGTTTTCATGAACTCTAATTAAACACCTGACCTGCGTTTTCTAACAATTATAGCTCTAAAATTAATACTTGAAACTGACAGTATTATCCAATTTTAATAAAAAGGTCAGCACTTTATTAAAATGATTTATGATTAATCACAGCACATTTGCGTAGCACATAAAAACTGATATGCAATCAAATCAAAATTTGCAGTAAAAACAAAAATCAAATTTTATTAGACACAAATTTCTTTTATGGTAACTCGGAGAAACTGCCATTATTTTTTATCAACCTCCATAAAACCTGTATCTAAACTTGAATTTTCCCGGATCAATAATACTATTGCGAAAATGCTATTGTGCCCCCCAGTTTATGAGCATTTTCTTTGTTGCACCATCCGGAAAACAAAAACGCTTATTTCTTGTATTTTACTGTCACTTTTATGTCGCTTTTATGTTTATAATAAAAATGCGAAAAATCAAAAATAAAACTGCTTATTCACAATTTATTAACGTTTGATCAATTTAATTAGAAACTCTGGATTACCGTGTGATATGCTGTTCAAAATAAGTTTGAGAATAGTTTAAACCTTGTTAATATTCCAGCTCAGTAAAATTGAAAATATATCCCTGTTCTAAGGGAATAGGTGACCCTGCGATAATCCCGTAACATAAATAATAAATAGTCACAAACAATAATTGCATTATTTATCGTTTAAATTACGTCGGATTAACTCAAACAATGAAGTGTCAAGGATGACTTCCGATCGAAAAAGACAAAGAAATGTTTGTGTTTTTTTTTAAACAAATTGCATTCAGTTAACTCAAATTTCGTTCTAATGCGAAAGAAAAAGTGAACCAATATTGTAATAAAATTTTATCAGTTGTATTACCCCACAAATGCGTGGTAAATAAAATTTAATTGTTGTTATTTTAGCCGAATATCAAACGTCACATAAAACTTTGACCGTTCTGATTATTCTTGTTTAGTTTGTAATTTTCTAATCAGAAGATGAACCCGAAATTGCTAGTATGCCTAAATTTGTGCATATTCAGAATTCACAATAAAACTGGTGCAACAACTGATCGATAACTTTATTTTTAGTAACACAATCGTTTTTTATAAATCAGGGGAAACTGAGTACCTTTATTAAAGCTCCACATGTTCGACACCGGTAGTTATTTTCAAACTCAACACTCAATAAACAAACAATATCGAATTACCTATTTAATAAGACTCGTTGCGATATCCAATGTGACTCCACAAAACAAAAAATTCAAATTGATTTGAAATACTTTAAGGTCATCAATCTCTTCGTATCAACACCCACTAAAATAAATAAATTTTTGAACCTCCTTCGACGATAAATAAACACGCAATCGTGATGAATAAACTCATAAAACACATTCGATGACCGTGATTTTTATTTATCACTACCTTCCTTTCGCGAACCATCGAAAAGCCTTACCTTTCCACTGTCCGAACCATGACTAAGTGTTTTGGTATGATGAGGTGCATGGTGAGTTTGGTGCTCCCGAGGCCGGCATGGCGATGTGCTTCTACTCGAAGTTTTACTTCCAGTTGTTTGTTGCGAAGTTACGTGCAAACTGTCCATTGCACCTAATCTGCAAACCGACAAACAATCCAATTAAAATTTCACCTTTATTGAATTGCGTTCAGCGAGTGAATCACGAAATTAAATCTATAAGTAATTGTTCGAAAATGACTAAAAATTTCAATTCCTGTGTGACTCAGGTGTCTTAGAAATGTTTTCAAATGAGATGACTTGCTTTTGAGGAATTTGAGCCTCATTTCTCAAACCTACATCTCATGGAGAATCCCGAGTTATTTATGGAGGCGAGGATTCAGCCACAGATTCATTCCAATTCATTTTTTTCTAGTTACTGTTTACTTAATTTTGTATTTATTATTTTTGCTTTAATTGATTGTTATTTTAAGCTAAAAAACAACAATATTTCTGCACTGTTCGGAAAATTCTGTACATATTAATTCTACCCCACTGAATAAAACATTAAAGTAGTCGTGTTTACCTCGATATTTGGAATAACCTAAAGTTATAAATATGACAATACAAACTAAAACGTGAAAATCATGTATCCAAAAAACAGTTCACTTTTTTCAGATAACTGAAACACTGGACAATACAGAACATAAAAAACAGCTTCTTCAACCTTAATTTTTTATTTCATTTGTTTGGTTTAATTATTATTCATAAAGTAAAGTAAAAGTATTACGGAATAAAAAAAATCATTCCAAATGATAGTACAAAATAAACTGTCTATTAAATTTGTAGAGTGGTTCCTTTCATTTTTTAAATTTAAATGCAAGCAGAGGACTTAAATAAAAAATACTATAGCAAATCAATTCCTTGAACTACAAATTGATAACACTATCATTACGACGAAATGATTAATTAATCTCACCACATTTTTTTTTTATTTTAAAAACACTCAAATAATAGTTAAATTATGACATAATCTTACTTTCATTTATATGACTAAAAGTCCTTCATTCTCTAAAATACCTTGAAAATAAAAAATAATAAATTATTAAAACTTAAAAAGAAATACATAATATGTACAACCATTCATTCAGAATAGAAATACAGTATAATTAAAGATTTGCTCACATAATAGTACACCTTACATAAAAAATTACACAGGTAATTAAAATTCAATTAGTAAAAAAATTATAAGCTTCCTCTTAATAATTTAGAAAAAAATTGTACCCAAATGTTATCGAAAAAGACAATAGTTCACATCAAGTCGTGCATTCTGAATGGCGGAATTAGAGCATGAAACAAAAAAAAACATTACCTCCAAATATTCAAAAGCGTTAACTGCATTGTATGAACTCAATGGCCGCACTGTAGAATGAAGAAAGAAGAATGAATCAACTAACATTGAATCGTATTTAACTCGATTAATCATTCTTTCTAATCTAAACAAACATTTAAAACGCTGGTAAACTATAAGATGATAACGCGGTTATTGGTGGCACTAAACTAACACAATCTCGTCTCTTCGGTATGACCAACACTAAAAATAAATTTTCTCGTAAGCCTGTGACTTTCAATGTTTCACACGATCTGTTTTATTTTTATTAGAAAAATAGGAAATCTCGACACCGACGATGATTGTTTCGCGATACACACGTTTTCTGAACATCGAAGTGAAAGCCCAATTGATACGAAAAACTCCACATCTAATAATTATCAAACCCATGTGAAAGTATGTAAGAAAAAAGCTAAACAATTATCACGACTTTTACTTTTAATATGATATCACGTTGTTGACCTAATGCCTACATAAAAAAAATCAACATAATTAAAAACAATTCTGTTTACCTTGGAAGACGAATTACTGTACCCGTAAGCACCAATTCGTGTTTTATTAATTTAACGACAAAAAACACAATTAGCAATTTTTACAATCGATACCACGTCTCACAGAATTTTGTGGAAACTAATTTTATCAAAATCATGTCGCTTTGCTCTAGCATTCACTATTGTAATCAAAAAATGAGACAATGTAAATAATCGCATTTACAGGTGCACGTGGGATAAATAAGTTTTTGAAGCATAAAATTGTGATGAAATTATTTTAATCACCAAATTAATGACACGATCGACCTTTAAATACAAATAAAAAATATTTTAAATGTATAAAATGAACTTCCGACATTGCTTATCTGATCATTGATTTTTGACATTGGCTGAAATTGCAAAATAAAACTTCCTTAAACGGAAAAGTTTGGACAGGGCATTGTATGCATATTATGCCAATTTGGTTGAATTTGTGACTCCTCAGGTTATGCCCCACTTTTAAGGACAAGTCGACAACTTTTCCTCGCAAAAGTTGTGAGTCAATGACTCATTCAATTCTGGGTTGCAAAACTGATCAGAAAAGTTCTAGTAATATTATTACACACCGCAAGATTCTAAAGGAAAAATTGCTGAGTTTACAACCAAAAACGACCATACCGTATCTTACACGAACGAGATTCAGTACTGTTTTAATAATGTATTTTCCATTTTTCATGTCCAATTATGGTACAGAAATTTTGTTGCTCGTCTTGGAACGACCTTCCTTTTAATGCGACGATTTAATTAGGCCAGTTTAGGGCAGGTTAAGCACATTATATCTGCGCAGTTGACTAATCTAGGTTTAATAAAACGTTACGGTTCCCTCTTTGAAAATACATAGTAAATAAATATAGATTTAAAGGATTTCCCTTATCGATCAGTCACTTCCACTGTACGTAATGTGACAATTTCATGAATAACGGCTTTATTTTCGCTGTTTTATTGAGTAAATTTACATTTCTGTCCCAGTTTTAATTTTAGGTTTGTGGTTCCTGTAACGATGCTTACGTTGAGGACTTTAATAAATCTGAAATGTTTACATGTTTATTTTTCAAACCACTGCTTAAAGCTTCATAAACACACATCTTTTAACAAAGTAAAAAATCTGTTAAAGGAAATTTGAATTTTTTGTCCATTCTAGACTTAAATTAAAATAACCAGTTGTAAAGTTTTTTGATAAGTTCGGGATAGGATTGTGTTGAATTGTCCCATGTTACGTTATCTGATAAGAATTTTCTTGAAAATTGTGTAATTTTAATATCCTCCCACTTCCACTTTCATGAATTTTATGATGTTTTATGTGTGCTTTTGACTACATCATGTTTTGCTTACACAACAATGTTGTGAGTTTCCTCGCTGTTATAAATAATAATAAAGGATAATTATTTTAAAAATAAGATTAAACTTGTGGGTGGTTAGTCAAGTTTGTTTGAACCGTAATTAGTGTACATTGTATCCTATCAAAAAGCTATATTACAATATTAATTCTATACTTATATGTGCATAATAGTAAACAAAAACTTGAGAAAATAGTGCATTCTTACCTAATTAAATTTTCTTCTCATCGTACTCCTTTAGAACAATGGAAATTGTTTTAAACATTCCGCTAGGGTTAACACAAATAAAAAAATTCTTCTATTGAGAATCACAGAAACACAGACTCATTTAAGTTAAACGAAATACTAAATCCATCTCCAAATATATTAAAAATTATTCACTATTTCATAGAATGTCAAAAATGTGTCACTACATTATTGTTTTGTGCCGTGAAATGAAGCGCCCCACCACTGTAAACTATGCAACGGGTCATACAAGGTCACTCAAGTTTACCAACACTTGGTTACTTTTTCTGTCATTTTTTGACATTATAACCTCAAAAACCAAATTGATTTTTATCTAAAAACATCAAAAAACACGTTTAATATAACACAAGTTATGTATAATTATCATAAAATACGACAGATAGTTTTTTTATTGGTAAAGTCGTGGTGACACAAAAAGTGAGGTTGGGAACGATGACCCTTGGACCCAGTTCAACACCAGAATGCTGCCCAACTTTTCTAAATTTATTTTCCGGCATTGTTCGACCAAATCTCGGCCTTTCTGTGAAGTGAAAATTCCCGTACCGTGGGGCCACATTGCGGGAAAATGGTGGAATCCCACAGATCAAAGACCTATTTTGACCGTACATGGATGGCAAGACAACTGTGGCAGTTTCGACAGACTAGTGCCTTTACTTAATCCCGATGTTGGTATCCTTGCTATTGACTTACCAGGGCATGGGTACTCGTCTCGTCTTCCTCCTGGGATGTACTACCACAATATGAATTACCCTATTCTCATTAAACACATTTCTGATTATTTCAAGTGGCCTAAAGTGTCGCTCATGGGACACTCTTTGGGCGGGATCAGTTGTTATGTATACACAATGCTGTTTCCAGAGACTGTTGATTTTTTAATTTGTATTGATGGAGTGAAACCGCTTTATAAGAAGAATAACGGGCCTAGAATGGCTGAAGGGATACAAGAGTTGTTGAACTATGACGAATTAGCTAGAAGTACTGAAGAGCCACCAGCTTATCCACTTGATACTATGAAGAAGAAAATTAGTGCCGTGAATAATAAATCTATTGATATTGAACATTGTCATCATATTCTAGAACGGAACATTGCACCGTCAAAAAGTGATCCAAATAAGTATTATTTCACGCGTGATCCGCGTTTAAAATCAAGGCTCATCCTCAACTGGTCAAGGAAAGACTTGCTTGAAGGGGCTTATAGGGTCATTCCACCATTACTTCTGATAAAATTTACTGGAAGTGGATATTTTGAAGATAAGAAGAATTTCTACGAACTTTTGGATGCCCTCAAGAGAACATCAAAAGACGTCCGGATGCACTACGTGGACGGGACCCATCATACTCATTTAAATAACCCAGAGTCTATTAACACCATTATTAACAAGTTTATTGAAGTTTACAACACTGAGACAAGAGATGTGGGTGGGATTAAACAAGATATTATACAATAAATAATTTATTAAATGTTTAGTTGAATAAATTCATGTTTGGTTTAATTCATTTAATTTTTTAATTAGTTCATTACCAAATGATTGTTGAAACCGTGGACTGATCTGATTGAGTAAGCTATAGGGTGTCTCAAAAACTTCATCACTGTTGTCGTTTCTTTCATTATGTGTTGTTCCCGCAACTCTGAAACCGTTTCCTGACAGTTCAATACAAAATTCTTGCCCTTCTATAGTTGTCAAATTGAAATAAATTTTTTGATCAGTACCATCCAAAATCTCGACGTTTTGGACATGCTTTTCGATGTCTTTAATCACAGCTTTTGCTTCAAGTTTCCAGTTTTCAGCATCAAGCACTTGTTCAGTCATTTTAAAATCAAAACAGCTGTTAGTACTGTCACTTTGACAGCTGATTGTCAACTGTTCGTTATAGCACAGGTCGTGCCATCTGTCGGTCTATTTGTCAATAACTTTTGTAAACACCTCGAAGAAGTGGTCATTTGGCCTGATCAGCTGTTTTATGTGAAAGTGGAAGTTGTTTGTAGTGTTGCGAAATCAAGATTAAATTGTCGTTATTACATTTTTGTCAGCTTCACTGTGCTGTGACGTAAAATGTGTTCTTATTTAGATATCTCCTGCAATAATTGTTTTATTATAATTTGAAAAGACCAGATAATAGAATTTTTTCATTGGTGTTTAGAAATTTTTCTCGTCTTGTTGATTATTAATAGTGCGGTTTGGTGAAAATGTCCCAAATTTACAGTAAATTGCCTCTATCTGTAACAGGGACCATAAAAACTACGTGTATTGAATATGTTCATCCTTGGACTGATAGTTGTTTGCAAGGGATTTGTGGATTGTATTTATACGCAATTTTTGATTCTTTGAGGATATATGGGACGGTTTATATGGTTAGTATTGTGTCCAGTTTTTTCTTCATTATTATAGTCTTCTTACGTAAGCACTCATTATTTGACCAGTAGATAAAAGGTCATCAAGTATACATTATCAACATGTAAATAATTTTAAGAAAAACAATTTTTCATTATTCGAAACAGTTTACTGAAATGTAAACAAAATTCTAATAATGCATTTCCTGACATTCCATTGACATTCAAAATTTCTAATTCAATAACTTGAAAGTGCTTTTCTTAACATTTTCTGTTATCTTAACTGGTTTTTAACTTACGTTTCATTTTATTTAATTACAGCTTGAGTCTACATAATTCAAGTTTGTTGACGTCATATTTTTGTTGAATATTAATTGTTGTTCATTTGTTAAAAAAAGGAACTCTAAAAAAATTTATATTTTTGTAATTGGTACTCCTATTTCCTTTTGGAATATTTACATATAAGAAAAAATAATAAAACAGACTTTTGATGTTGACATTGGTAAAACTGGTTTCAAATTGTTAAGGGCATGTGACGTCATTAAATGTTGGCAGGACTAATTATTTTGGGGTTGGTTTCAATTATGTTAAAACTCTATTTTTCATTCTCTTATTATTTGAATTTCAAAAAGGGATAACTGTCAAAAAAAAATGAACCAGTTTTTTTAAAACGTTAGAAAAAACTACATACAGTCAAAAAAATCAAAAAAAGTGGTCGTCAGTTTTACATTTGAGCATAAAATTAATTATTCCTGTGTAAATGAGCTTACTTAAATTTACGAAAATACATTATTTCGCATCATGAAGTTTGGTAATTGGTCAGGTCATCAAATCAATTTTGTTGTGAAAATGTAAATCATTTATTATTTATTTATTCATTTTTGAAATGACATTGACGACCACTTTTTTTGAATTTGACTGTAATTTGTTGCACTGAGATATCATGCTTAAAATAATCACAAACTTCCTGAAATTATTATAAGGACATAATTGAATAGGTTTTATTATAACAAGACTAATTATTAACGGATGAAACGACTTGTTTCTTCCAATTTTTCCTTATTGATATTCGGGTATTCAGGGTAAAATATCGTGACAAAATAAGGACAATCAATTACGCGGTCCGAAGAAAAAGTAAAAATGAGTAAAATGAGTCAACTTTATCTTGCCTGATCAGACTACGTTTAAAAGAAAAAACTTAACCCCGACTTATAATTAACATTTTTTGTATAGAAAAAAAAGTAATAACGAAACTCGCCCAACGAGAAGGTAAACCACCGTCTTAATGAAAGACTCGACATAAAATTCATGTACTTAGTATAAAAAATTTCATTTTTTGATAAAATAATATTGGCAGAGTTTTTTGTTTCTTTTACTTATTTCAAATTTTTAGCTAATACTAGAATTCTAATACGGATTCATCAACTTTTTTCACTCCAATAAACAAAATTCTAAGTTTTATAATTTTTGCCCCTATTAACTTTGTGTTTGTAGGTAAATGCATTAATTTTATTTTGTAAAGCAGTATGTAAATTTAGGCTTCCAGTGTTGATATTTTGAAACATAAATTATTAAACACCATAAAATGTAAGTTTTGTACTTACAAGTATAATTTGTAATGTATTGTATAGTTTTTTAGTTTTTTCATTTTACATTCATGGTGACTGACAAAGGTCGTTGAATAATTAAATAATTATGTATGTTCATGATATCATGAAATTGTTATTGGGCATAGTTTTGTATTAATTAATCGACATCGTTTACCGATCCACTCTGTATAGTAACTACAATCAAATTAGCTGCAGTTTCAAGTTTTTTGACGTGTTATCTCATTGGTAGGTCCGATTGAGAATATCTAAAGTTTTTCGTATGGCACCTGGAAGAAAAACAACTTTTTATATTTAGTGCATTATTGTATTAAGTATAATTACAATTGACATTTTAACATTTATTAGTAATAATAACACACCAGTATTCATAAATATGAGACAATATTTGAACCTCAAAAATGACCTATAAAATGATGTTAATCTAAATAATAACTCTTGTCCTATTTCTACTGATAAGAATTTTACCCTCGGAATGAGGGTATGGAAATTTGTTTTTTTTTTTTTGTAATAACTCGGAACCATTTAACCAAATAATATAAAATTTGGAATTGAGTAGATGTATCCGGTTTTGATAATTACCAGTTTCAAAGGTGTGTTCTCACAAGTAACCATTCCAAATTTTATAACATTTGGTCAAATGGCTCCGAAGTTATTACAAAAAAAAAGCAAATTTCCCTACCCACATTTCGACGGCTGTAAAATTGTTAAGCGTCGATATAGGACACGAGTTATTAAAATTAACATCATTTTATAGGACATTTTTGAGGTTCAAATATTGCTTCATATTTATGAATAACTCTATACATTAGTCTGTTTTGCGTTTTTTCACATGAATAGATGCGCTAGACGTTAGAATTCATAACAATTACAAAACTCAAGTTTAACTCACCTGTGTTAAATTACTTTTTATTAAGATTTTAAACTTTTTTTTTACTTTCATAAAGTTTTATAAACATTGACTACTAAAAAGATTCACAGTAATGTGTCTGATAAGCCGGTCAAAACCATTTAAATGAGTTATGATATCATTAAACGTTTTACACTACCTACATACCTAATAATCTGTTTATTGCTACTAAATGGACAGGAATTAGCCGATAATAATAAATTTTTATAATTACTTCGTTCTAAGTACAAGTCACCAAGTGACTCGCAGAAAGAACTGCTATCACTACTATCTCTCCTTACGTTCGGTTGTGTATTTAGAAAAATTGTCCCACCAATAGCGTCGGGTGTAAATGTCAACAAATAATAATTTGATAAGCACAAATAGGTAACCACTTGTAGTTAAATTTGGTCTGTGATAATCACTAACGCGAAAATGGTGCAAGTTTTGAGCAAGTTTCAAGCCTTAACGATAGATTGTCGCGATATACACAATTGGCAAGATGTTTGTGTTATTTTTCATACAGAAACTGGATTAAATAGTGTGATAGGTTCATTTAAAATGTATATTGGTGTCTACTTGGTAAGTATAATAATTTATACTTATAAATTGGTAATAAATATGTCACAGACAAGCTACTTACCAAGAGAAAAGACGATGATTTAACAAGAAAATTTAATATTTTTAAAGTCATTTCTGCTTTGTTTAATTTGTTATTTAACTGGTTGCACATTAACAAACACTAACATTTTTCCGTTGTAAAAGAAGAAGCTTTATGTTGTAGTAAATGATGTCACTGGTTAATAAATGTTGATGGGGTTTAAAAAGTAACAACACAAGTGATTTAGTAGAGGTTACGCATTGCTATTGAACTATTTTTAAGTTGGTGAAATTTTTATCTAACTAGGTAGGTAAGTTATTCGTGACTATCGTCTTATTTTTCTATCTTGAATGAATAACGAAAGAATTTTAAACAAATTTTAGAAATTTTGGATTAAGTGAACGAAAAACAAAAGTTCTGGTTTTGGGTGATTGATTTATTTATACTTTTATGATAAATCAATAATTCATTAATTAGGGATATCCAAAAATTTGGCTGTCAAATATCCAGAGAAATTCGAAACACCTACTACATGGTTTTCCTTAGATGTTACGCATTTTCTATTGTTAGGTTTAGTAAAGTAATTTATAATTTATCAACAAAGAGAGAAAGCCCATTAACATAAAATAAATAAATGAAGGTATCAATGGTCCTATTGTTTTTGAAATAGCGTTGGATGTAAATATAAAAAAGTGGATTTTGCAATCCACTTGAGTAAAGTTTTACATAACTTTTTGCTGAAAAATGGTTGCTTTTAGTAAATTCCGACCGCTATTTGTGGATTGCAAAGAACTTCATTATTGGGAAAATAAGTGTGCTCCTTGTCCATTGAAATTAGCTAAAGTGGTTGCGTTACCTTCCTTCAAAATTTATTTCTGTGTCTACGTGGTGAGTGAAGGTGTTTGAATAATTTTAATTATAAACATTTAATTTTTGAACAAGATTTCCGCTCGTATCTTTTTTGTTTACTTTCGTTATCAGTTCCGGTTGGTGTAACAATTTTTCAAAAAATCTGGTTATCTAAATGAGTGCTAATGACAATAGTCAAATCCAAAATTTGGTAATTTTGTTACAGTTGACCCTGTTGATGAAAGGTCGAATTCCGACCAAAGAAGATTTGAAGAAAACAGTTTTAGGAATCTTACAATCGACCGCTTTTCTCAGCGGTACTGCATTTGGTTACTCTCTATTTTTATGTGTTTTAAGGTACGCAAAAACCACCAAAAAACTTAAAAGAAACATAGCATTTTAGACGACTTTTGGGCAACTTTAACATCCTGACCGTGTCGGCAATCCCAGCATTCTTATCTAGCGTATTCTCAGTTCTAATCGAAAGGCCTTCCCGCCGCACTCTGTTATGTCTATACGTCAGCAATGTCGCAACAGAAACCCTCTGGAACATGGCTTTATCACGCAAAATGGTCCGAAATATCAAATATGGCGACACGGCCATTTTTGCCATTGGCATGGCAATTTTACTTATGTATTACAAGGGGGGTTACCATAAAGACTCAGTGGGGAAGGCTGACAGCATGTTTGGAGTCTTAAGGTTCGTTATCTAATTATTGAGATAACACTTTAAATTTTGTTCAGATTTGTAGTGGGGCCTTATGAAGAAAAAGACTACAGTGCGAGATCAAGCCAAGCGAGCAGCTTCTACAGACAGCAAGTCCAAAACATTCCAAATGTTGGCTCGAGAGCGAAATCGGGAAGTTGGCATTCGAACTCGCGATCAAAAAATCCCGTTTTTCACATTGTTACTCAAGCTCTACGTGTTTATAAAAAAATTATATACAAAATAAAGTGCTGTGATAGACATCTAGCGTGTCCTCATCCATTTAGTTGTTTGTATTATACGATGCAAGTAATTGGTTGCGGATACTTTTGAGAATTTGCGTCTGATCTAAAGGTTTTTAGGGCGTAGGAAAAATGTTTAGTATCGGTTTAGGGATACAAGTGACTTTAAAGTTAGTTCTTAATATGAAGAAAATCGTCCAAACACCGAGAAATTTGAAAACGATCTTGTTTAGGAAAGATACTTTGAATCTGGCAGTGTTCCTTGGAGGTTTCTCGGGTTTATTTAGGGCAAGATTCGAATTATTTACATTTATTTAGATTTGTAAATTATGTATTTTTAGGCCGTTTTGTGTATTTTGAGAAGGGCTACTGGCAAAGATAGTCCCTCTTTTGCCATCCCAGCTGGCTTGATCGCCGGAACTGCGTTTACACGATACCCAGACACCACAGTATCATTATATGTCTTATGGAAATTAGCCCAAGTACTTACCACCTTTTTTACTACCGACCCTGATTTTTCCAATTTTTTTTAGATAACCTACATCATGGGTATCAATAAAGGAATTGTTCCACGAGTCCCTGGATTCACCGAATTTTTGTATTGCTTCAGTACTGCCGTTCTTTTCCATGCAGCTCTACTAGAACCGACAAATTTAAGGCCAAGTTATTGGAAATTTTTACACTCAATTTCTGGCGGAAGAATCGCTTGTATGAACCGCATTCCGTTGGATGCTTGGGGCCTCGGTACTTCTGAATCTCTTGAACGTGTTTTGGAACTAACTAAAACACAGAGAGTTCTGAAATAGGGATATTTGATCACGTGGTACTTTTGGAACTAGTCAAAATGGGTGTTAGTTTACAAAAGTTTTGAAAATACTTACTTTTAATAATTAGGTAATTTTTGACGCTGGTTAGTATTTTACTGAGGGTAGCACCGGTTCTGGGTGAGCAACTCTTTTTGTTATTTTATTTTCATACTTTTAATAAATGAGATTTTTATTGCAATATTTAATGAAATAAAGGTAAAACAGCAAAACTATTTTTATTTAACTATTTTAACAGTAGGTAATAATAAACTAATTTAATATTGCAAATATTAGTTAACGAAACTCAGATAATTATAATTTGTTAAGAAACACAGCTATTTGAGAGTTTTAGCAAACAATAAAAATATTTCATTCGTTGTTGCTCCTTCGGGAACCCTTTTTTTAAATAATTCGTACCTAAAAACCGAATTAGTAAAAAAACAAACGTTAAATTGTGTTATTCCTACGCATCACTTTTTCCGCCCTCATTTAAGTGTGCTGCAAAATATCTTGCAAAATACAGAAAATTATAATGTTGTTCAGTTCTGAAGGCGAAATTGATAGCCATGGAAACAAATTTCAAAATATCATTATTCGACTTCATTTCTCTAGTAGAGGCGAATTTTTTAGCTAAATGCTGTAAAAAGTATGTCATTATAATAGATTACTTCCGAGGTGCTTCATCACCAAGACGAAAGGCAAGGTACGATGACGCAACGACCATCAAGATTTGTATACTATTTTATTCACAATCATCCTCCTTACAAAACAGAAAGCTAATAAATAATGTATCATATTTTGAAAAACGTCATGTTTTATATGACTGCAAACTGTAAACATCATATCAATTGCTAAATAAAGTTGAAATGTCATACTTTCTAACTTTGAACAAGCAAGGTAATTTGATTATTACTTTGTGATTGTGAATAAAATAAATTACAGTCCGAAACATCACCTTTAAAGATTTCGATTCTTCAGTTAGAAGATCAACAATTTGACGTTTCTTCAACATTTCCTCATAAATTTCTGCAAGTGTATGCATTATTATTAAAGGTAAAGCTGGAGAGGATGTTTTTGATTGACTAAGTATATTGTTCATTAAAAAACCAAATTCTTCGTTGTGCTAAAAATTAAAAAACGAAAATTTTTTGTAAACGTGAAAGATCGCTCTTACTATATAATAGAAACGTAATATCTTCGAAAAATATTCGAAAGACACTACATTCAAATACAAAATAGTGATAACTTTCCTTAGTAGATTTTGGCGTTCTTTCAAAGCCACTAAAATATAAGTAGAAAACAATTGTGTTATTATCACTTTACTTACTCTCTCTATTCTCAATCACGTGCTGTACTACAAAATTAAATAAAATTTCCAAACTCGTGGGTTCAGTAATTTTGATTACGAAATGAGAATATTCACGTCTTCGTTTAAGTTCAGTTTCAAAGTCGATATAAAGGTCACAAAAGGTTTCCAAAGCCTAATTAAAAACATAAGTGAGGTAGAATAAAAATTTGAAATACTGAAAATACCAAAAATAACTCTGAATTTCTCTTCCCTTGTTTAAGCATTTCCAGACATCCATAAACAAAGTCTTTACAATCATTGTAGAGGAGACGATTGGTGGTCTCACCCCCATTATCGTTTTTAGGAAGCCGCATGAATTGGCGTAAACGCCAAACTAAGTGCCACTTGCAACAAACTACTAAGTACTTTAGCGCCTGCAAATTATAATGTAAAAAAAACTGTAAACATTGTTTGTACAAAACCTTCAAGAAATTAATTTCCCAGACTTGGAAAATGTCTTCCCATGCAAGAACTGTTGTCAAGTCAAAATGTGAAAATAAGATGGATGCTTTTAACGATTTTTTTCTTATTTCTATCAGCAAAGTTTTGCCACAATCAGGAGACTAGAAAATTATATTTAGTTGTTAGAAAAATTGACAAAAAAATACCATTTGTTTTAAATCATCGGATAATGACTTAATAGAAGTTTTTAAACTCTCAACCACAACAGTAGCCCTGTTATAATACTGTTTTGCACAAAAAACAGCAAACACCTTTGTTATGTTTTGGAGTAAGATATAATCAGTTGTTCTTTCGAACATTTCTTTTAATATCGTAAAAATGTTGGTGAAATCCTAAAACAATAATTTGTTGTTTTTCAAAGAAAATAAAAGCTTACTTACATCTTTCAAATCATCCGAACGGCAAACACTACAATCAATAAAAGACAACAGTTCAATTAATTTGTGCAAACACACTTTTTCGGTTTGAAACGCAAAAAGTAATTGTGCGAAATTGGGAATTACATTATTTGCTACTTTAATATGATCATCATCGTTTGGCGACCCTAAAATTGCAAATTAAAATAAAGCCCCACTTGCTAAAATATAATTACCTCGGTGGACCTGTCTAGAATAGGAAAAATTCCCGGTGAGCACATACCTGACACACTCATTTAAAATTTTAATAAGACCTGTTTTAGCACCTAAACGAATTTCATCATTTAGTAAAACTTTCATAAACATTGTCCAATCTTGTAATTCATCAGCAAACTCAAAAACTGATTCGAGAAAAATCGGGAGTTTCTCTGCATCCTAAAGAAATTTTTAGTCTGTCGCATCCACCAAAAAAATTTAAATTTACCTGGGGCTTTGAGAAGGCTACTACAACAAGTGAGAGTAAAAATTGTTCCTCATTTGGGTTTTGATGGCGAAGATAAGCCACTAGAAATTTACCAGCTGCTTTACCTAAGAAAACATCTTTGTAATAGATGTTTCTAATAATTTTATTTTTATATTCCTCGGTGATTTTGTCAAAGTAGCTAGAAAAAATGGTTTGAAAACGTTTTTACTGTTTAGTTTTTTTACTTTTCAATAGCTGCAGTAAAAGCATGTACTGCTTGAGCAGCTACTTGAGAATTTATATCAACAAATCTCCCAGAAATAAATTTCAAACATAACTCAATTCGTTGTTTTAGTACTTCTGAAATTTCCTCGCAGCGGATTAATTTTTCAGCAGTTGTTAGAGCCGACAATCGGACCAATTCGTGCTAAAACAATTTAATATGATTCACATCGAGACATCAGTACATTTTGTGTCAAACCTGATCAAGAATCATTTTCATTAATCGCCCTAAACAACGACGCTTTAATATGAAAACCTCTGGATAGAAGCAGATCCATTGGAACATTTCTTGCGTTGCTCTTATTTTTACTATAGCCCCTCTTTTATCAGGTATCAAACTAGGTCAAAATTAGTCATTTATATTTATTAGACTTAAGTAAATCTTACCATTGTTTGTCAAAAATTAGGTAAAGGAAATCAATTGTATTTTCAATATTGTTTTTTTTGATTGCCAATATCCTTTCAATCGAAGTATTCTTATTAATATCCTGGCTCAAGGAAATGAATTGTTTATAGAGTTTTAGAAACGATGTTATCATATTTATTACTAAGGGAGCAAGTTTTATAAAGAGTTAAGTAAATTGTTTTACTTACTTATTATAACACCAGTAATACAAATATTACTCATATTGCTTAAACACATACATTTAACAAATTCCATTATGTGTGCCTCAAAAACTTTATCAAATAACACTTGAGACTTGAATGTTTGGATTAATAAATGATCTAAAAACTGGCCAAGAATGTGTTCAGCATCCTTAACAAAACTTGTTGTTTTCATAAACAAGAAGTGTCCAGTTTTCTGCAAATAATTAAATTTATTTCTGAACCAAGTTCAATGAGTAATTTTACTTTAAGTTCATCTTCCAGTAAGTCATATTGCATCTGTTGCACGAGTTGATCCGAATTTTCCCGCTCAAAATTGTAAAATTTTTCAACTGATAACTTTTTGTAACCACATAGGTCAACAAAAAGTTGGAGAATACAAATAATCGCATGTTTTTTATTGGTCTTGTATGTGTCTACTAGCTCAAGTGTGATGCTCTAAAATAGATAAAATGAAGCTGGCTTACTAGAGAATGGTATATTTACTTCTAATTGATCAGGTTGTGTCATTATTTTGTAATAGAGGCTCTGTTTATTTTTCGGTTTCAATGAACTCCAAAAATTCTCCCACTTGAGAGGCTTTACCCCTCGACCTCTACTACCAATAGTGACCGAAGTTTCCTCAACAGCTGCAAATCACAATATCTTTTAGAACGAATTCAATACTTGTTTTGTACGTTACATTCGCAAAAAGATGAAATCACATCATTGTCAGTTCGATTTGCCCTATTTTCACCACTGTCTCCATCAGATTCAACTTCCATCGGCTCTTCCCCTCTTGAAATGGTGGAAACACTTGGAGAAGACGACAAATTGGGAGAATTATTATTCCGAGGAGTGCTAGTGGCTCGGGTTTCTTGAGATGCACGATCCCGGTTAGAAGCACATAAATTTCTTATGGAAAGAGACATTTTCACACGGGGAAATACACTTGAGTTTTTTGCCACCACTTAAAAAACCGTTAAATGCGCAGCGTCTGTACAAGAACCAAACTGGCCAATGGAATGCCAGGTTTCATCGGCCATGTTATAAAGTGCTGCCAACCTGATGATGATGAAAACGATTTTTAATGTAAAAAATATGTATTATTTCACTTCGCATGAAGTATTAAACGAAAATAATTCGAGAAAATTAAGTAATTTTTATTGCTACGGTGAAAAACGTTAAACACGCTTAAAATTGTGAATGTCGGCATTTACCGGCCATTTTGTATGCAGCTCTACCAACCCACAAAAAAGAAGACGCATTTAAAATGTACAAAAAATATTTATTATTACTTTCTTACATTAAAATTCATATTTCTAGAGCAGGATTCTTATTTCTGTCTTGGTGGGGCAGGATTCCTAATGGCAAATTAAGGAATAAACTTGTATCTGAAAAAAGGCAATATCACAGCAAGAAATACCTACTTAAAAAACTAAAAATACCTTCAATTACAGTCCAGCGTGATTTAGATTGCGTCGACACATTCTTTACATCATTAAAAGTGTCTTCAATTAACTCTAAATCATCAACAGTAAAAAATTTCCCATTAGTAGTAATAACGCTATTTGGAAAAAATGCAGACATGAGACAAAAATAATCTTCAATTAATTCAGAAGGAGCGTTGTTGTATGTTAAAACTCTAAAAAAGACAAACTCAAGAAGTTTTTACTTATGTAAATTAAATATTAGTTACTCTCTTGCAAAATTTTGCGTAAGTAGAGTTAGTTTTTCCAATACTTCTATTGCAAATTGCTTTATTTTCAAAGAAGTATTTTGACGCGTGAAAGACAAAACATTTTCATTCTAAAAAAGTGAAATTATACAATGAAGACAACTAAACAACCAACGTACATTACAATTGCTTAGGACTGCTAAAAAAATTTCTTTGATCCATAAACTTGCAACTTCTCTATGTAAAAAATCGTTTTTATCATTACACACAAAATTAAACAGTTTATAAATAAAATTCGGCATTATTTGTATCTCATGCATAATATTTAACAAATTATTCCATTTATTTAAAGAATCAGATGGAATTTTTCTAACTCCTGTCTCATCAACCTCTAATTCAATTGATAAAATTGTGAGATTATCCACTAGTGATTTACAAATTACATCAGAACTAGCCTCTTTATTATTTCTTATTTCTTCTCTCAATCTGTTAAGCACACATTCTAATACTTTTTTGTAACTAGTCTGTCTCGGTGCTTCCCCCAGAAAGTCAATAATTTTTTTCATCAATTCAAAATTGTTTTGCACAACTTCGTTTTCACTCAAATTTTCTAAAATGTAAACCCCATCTTCTATAACAGTCGAAATAGCTTTCTCCACAATGAAATCAGTCATGTTTTCACATTGTACATCCCAATACTTATCTTTCAACCAGTCCAAACAAAACTTAAGACCCAACTCCAACATTGATAAAGGTGGAACTTTGTGACTGTGGGCAACATCATGTCTTAAACTGATCAACCACTTAGGTAAATCATTCTTTCTCGCAGTTTTATAAAACGTCCCTTGTTTGTCACTGTTGGCAGCACATAAATTTAAAAATCGGACCAGAGACGTGGAAAAAATGTGGCTGCTTTCATAGGAAGACAATAGGTTTCTATTTACAAGAAGTGCTTCCAGGACTATGAGGGTTCCTTCCACCCCTGCTGACAATAAGGGAGTTCGGAGTTTCCAGATTTTTAAAATGGCCAAAGCTTTTGGCCAGTCTTGGCCGGATTCTGAATAAATTAAACTGTAAACGGTTTTCCATTCCGCTCTAAAAAATGAGGTTAAAATTGAGAAAATCCAGAAAATAGTATTTTACATGTTAAACCAAGGGACCAGGACTTTTCCAAAGTGTTTCTGTGACAAGGACATTATTGTTATATTTTACTAAAGTAGTGAAATTGTTTTTTTGACGAGGAAACATAACCTACAATTTTTATATGTCACACGTGTTGCGTTGCGCGCTATATTTAAAATCAATTAAACATTTCAAATCCTTTAATTTTGAGTAAATGTTTTTGAATAAATGTACTAAAATAAAAACACATTTCCTTGTTTTTTTTTGGAAAATATTTTTTTTATTTAGGTGTATGGTTGCTTGCATACCTACCTTAATAATAATTTTACGAGTACTTTCAACTATTAAAAAATTATGTATTTTTTTTAAATCTTGCCTCAATTTTAATGTTTTACCTATTTTTTATTATCTACAAGTGTGTAATATTTACACACAATTTTCAATTTGATTTAAAATTTTACACTTTATGGTTGTTGAGTAATGACGTCATCAACATTTTTTTAAATGGAATTTCTTCAAATGGAATCTCCTATTTTGATAGCTCTTTTAATAATTATTGTCGAAATAACAACACCAAAATACAGGGTATATCACACAACTTTACGAGGCTTGCGCCTAATGTACGCACCCAAATATGTAAAAGTCAGAAAACACTAGATACAAAAAATACACATTTAATAATTTAATTTTTGAAAACCCATGACAGTAGTTGTCAAACTAATCACTGTTTCATTAATAGTCATAAACTGCAGTTTTTCAGAAACAATTATCATTTGTTCTATCAAGAATCGGCATGAATATGATTCTAGTTTACCTATTTTAATCACTAACTAACTAAAAACGTTATAATTTTCGAAAAGGTAAACAAACTAGAGAAGATTATCCAATTTTTCAAAATTTCTAATCGAGTTCATATCGGAATATGTATTATTGATTGCATCTTACAGGCGCAGACCTCGTAAAATTATGTGGAACACCCTGTATTAAATATTACATAATATTTTGGAAAAATAATTTTTTAATATATAAAATAATATCAACAAAAAAACAAAAAAACAATTTTATCCACAATCACTCTATAAAGAGACTTTATTCCACACTTTAGATGCGTATAAAGTACCACTTTATCCACTAGTAGAATAAAGTAACTTTATTCCACTGTTAGTAACCAACGCACCGCGTAACAGCTTACTACGTTTAACTGAAAGTAAAATATATTTGGCGTGACGTTTAAATGTCAGTTTAATTTTTTATTAAGTTTAGAATAATTTGGGCCTGTGATTGAGAATAAAACGTTATATTGCAGTTGTGTAAGAAAATTAAACATTCTTGTGTGGATAAAACGCTACCTAACACACTCTTACAATAAATAACTATTAAATCAAGTTAAAAATTGTATATTTTTTAAAAGAAAATTGATCTGTTCGAGCATTTTTGTCGAAACAAAATATTTTCAATTTTATAAATAAGATTATCGCATAATTTTACCGCTCACTATATATTCCTTTTTTTATAACACTTGTTTTGAGGCGTTTCTACAAGAGACAGCTACATTTTGTACCATTTCAGTCGTCTCACTGGCAATATTGAAGAAGAAGAATTTGTGCAACAATTGAACACTGCTGACAAAGTTAAAGCCAAATTATTTCACTGTTTCATACAGAAAAAACATTGGGAATTTGGGAAAAGTGACAGAATGAGCGATTGAAACGGAAGGTACGACATATCTAGAGATTACCTATACATATTTCTCTTTACCAATGAAAACGAGCCACCCCGAAGATCTCAGAAACTAAAAAGACTTTGCAAAAACGCCGAAACAGGTCAATTTTGAATTTTTAAAGCACCTCCAGTAACCCCCTAACTCCCACGCACCTCAACTTTAAAAATTTAAAAGACACTACTATACTTGTGGCGCATCAAATGAAAGCTATTTTAACAAGCTTTTTAAAACTTTTTACCCAAAATTAAATCTGACCATCCATTCATGAGATACAGAGTGTTCAAATAAAAACAAACCAGAAAGAATTTGCAAAAAAAAACGAAACAGTTTAATTTTGTTTTTAAAAGGGACATTTTTTGACGCAATTTTAAAAGCATCTTCACTAACTCTAACCTCTATGCCACTTAACTCTAAAATGTCAAATAACACCAACCACTAAATGAAAACACTTTTAAAATGCTCTTTAAAAGCTTTTTTCCAAAATGAAATGATTTCTATAGGTTTATAATTTATCGACAAAAAAACTAATCTCTTAGTAGTCCGTACGTACATACAAAGAAACTTAAGAACTATATTGCTATTTTTTAGATAGGACTTACATTAAATTATAAGAATCTTTATTACCCCTTTTTCTTTAGTACGATTATTTTGACAATAAAATAAAGAAATAAAAATAAGTTTCTTACAGCTCCAATAATACTTATAACAATATTAGTAAGTTTCTTGTAATTTTTTTAATAGTTAGTGGGGTGCTTTTAAAATTGTGTCACAAAATGTCCTTTTTAAAAACAAAATTAACCTGTTTCGTTTTTTTTGCAAATTCTTTCTAGTTTGTTTTTATTAGAACACCCTGTATCTCATGAATGGATGGGTTGATTCAATTTTGGTAAAAAGTTTTGAAAAGCTTGTTAAAATAGCTTTTATTTGATGTGCCACAAGTAGGGTAGTGCTATTTAAATTTTTTAAGGTGGGGTGTGTGGGGGTTACGGGGTTACTGGAGGGTGCTTTAAAAATTACGACAAAAAATGTCCTCCTCGGAAACAAAATTGACCTGTTTCGGCGTTTTTGCAAAGTCTTTTTAGTTTCTGAGATATTCGGGGTGGCTCGTTTTCATTGGAACAGCCTGTATATGTTTTTTCTGCATGAAATAGTGAAACCTTCGGACTTGTAAAACTCAGTTGTAACACAGATTCTTCTTTTACACAGAAATTAAATGTTTCAAACCTATGTCACCTGGCAAAATACAGTTACGTTGTCAGTGTGACGATAGCAATTGCAGGAGGTATAACACAAGTTTAATTAAAGACACAATTGCACGTCTATATTTTTACGAAAAGTTAAAAATATTAATATGAATATGCAATTACTTGTATAGAGCAATTATGAAGAACCTTCAATTCTCATCTTGCGAAGGCCATTTGTTTCTGATACTGTTTAAAAATCGCAACAATTCAATTGTGTTACTGTTACCGAGTTATTACCTAACTTATCAGGAAGACTGGCTATTTAAGACTTGAGTTTGCATAACATTTGCTTTTATTCTATTCAATTTGTTAATCTGATCTGGAGATATGAAGGTAGTTTGTTGGTAAAAGGAAAAGTTTTTTAAATAATTGGTCTGGCAATGTTTTGTCTGTAGTATTATTACAATGTCAGCGTTACTACATTTTTTCACATTATAAATCTACGTGCCATTTTTGGGTGTGGCCATTTTTACGTTTTGACAGTTATTAAAAAAAAACATTTTTTAGGGTGAGATCTGCTAAAGTTTTGCTAAACTTTCAAGGAAATAACATTTAGGTTTTTTGTTTTCTTTCTTCAAAATTGCTTTTAATGTGTCAAGTTTACTAGTAATTGAAAAAAATGTTTAATTTGATACAAGCTATTCCAGAATTTTAATTAAATCCATTCAAATAAATATGACGAAATAGATTGTGGTTCACCTTCTTGCATTGTTAAAAAATTTTGTCTGTTTGGAGTAAATCCATCTTTTCAATTTTTTTGAGGGTCATTTAATTTACCAGTTTATTTAAAGAATCCTTGAATAGCGAGCTTAATGCGAATTAATTGCAGTTAATTGTTTTAAAAAGAAACTAATTGTCAGCCCTCAAAATTCCAGGTTAAAAAAATCAATTATAAATTACCAAGCTTTGTCACAGAAATTAATCCATTTTAATTTCATTCCCAAACGGAAAAAGAACAAAATCATCCAACCACACGAAACGAGAAAAATTCAATCATCTTTTTAGAAAATACAATTAAGTTTTTTATTGCTTATTACTTATGAATATTGTCACCCTAGTCTCAAAAACCTTGGTGGAGTAATGAGAAATTATCCTCATTTCCGGTAAAAGAAATCAATCATTGGGTTAATTGTTCCCAAATTTTTTCTAGGAACGGAAATTAAACTAAATGTTCTATTTTTTTATTTTAATTAGATTATACTGTCGACCGTCAACAAATTTAAAAGTTGTGGAGAGGTCATTCATCGATGATGCGTAAGATTTTATTGATCACTGATTTTGTGACATTACCTTGCAATTTGTGAAAGTGATTCAACCTTAAATACCGAGTTGACTGTCATACAAATTTTTAGTTTGTCTAGTAAACATTACATGCAAGTTTGCAACTAACTTATTATTACTCTGTCATATTTTTCCACACAATTAATTTTTAGCTCATTATTATCTCATCACCGTAGCAGAAATGGGATCGAATAAATTAGAAAATCCAAAATCCATACAATTTATTATGTATTTCATTATGCACGATCGTGTTGAAAGATTTATCGAGGTTTACTTTGCCCTAAAATGTGTTCGAATAACGGATGTGTATGGGAATATTTGACAATGATAAATCCCTAGTCTAGTTTTCCGCCTAATGTGATATTTGGGGCTAACATCTTGATTATGGATGATTCAATATTTGAACCTCGCTAATTGGACAATGTGCGTGATAATTTATACCAACTTTGTTGAAATTGATGCGACAAGACAGTTGTAACATATTGGAGTTTCGAAAGACAAGAAATTGATGATTTTTTAATTTAGTTCAATGTCATAATCTTGACTGCAGATGGTTTTCTGTAAAAACCTGCTAATTGACATTAATCTAGTTTAATTAAACGTTGTTTTATTTGCGGCTATTCATTGACGCTAATAAATAAAACTCCATAGATATTAAGTTCGTCATAAAAACAAAACAAACATTTTTATAGGAGTACTTTTAAAGAAGCGTAGCGCAAAAAATCATGATGTTTAAAATCCGTACAGTTGCGTGTAATATATTTTGGTCGTCAATGCCATTTTTTGACAAACTTATTTTTGTATAATTTGAAAATCGTGTCATAATGTCAGCAACGAACAGCAATAATAGAAATAATAGAAAACTATTTTTGACTTTTTGAGACAGGAAAAGTCATTCACAAAGAGTAAATT